ATTCCAGGAGGGTTTTCACACATAGCAGAGCATAGTATTTACAGTCTAGTAAAGCCACTAGTACGCGCAGCGTTTCGGGCAGGTCCTTAATCTAACATAATTTTAAGTAGGTAAATTCTAGCAGAATTAATAAAATGATAACAAATACATTGCAAGAAAAAAATGAGATGAGAGAGATTAATAAGTATATTAAAGCACATTGGTATATTAAAGCTCTGATTGATTACATTGACAGTTTGATTGGTAATTTAAACAAGATTAATAGACACCATACAGCAGATTAACAGCACATATAAGAAGACAACAATGATCACAATGGTAAAGATGTTCGGATTGAATACATAAAGATTGGGAGATTGGGTAGCAATAGATACAGTGCAATTTTAAAGCAAAAGGTAAAAAACTATGAAGATGAAATTAGGTACTTTTTAGTATTGTTTTTGAATGACGCAAAAGTTCGACAGCTTTTCAATTCAATAGGGAGTGAGTTCCATAGACTGGGCCCTTTTATTTGCATAGAGTGTTTACACAGATTAAGTTTAACTCTGGGGATATCAAAGAGATATTTATTTCTGGTGTGGTGATAATGGGTCCTATTATATCTGTCCAGGGAGAGTTTCAGAGCAGAATTTGCATTTAAAAACAGGGTTTTGTAAATGTAGTTGACACAAGAGAATTTGTGGAATGAGATTATGTTTAGCATGTTTAGGGAGTTAAACATTGGGGCTGAGTGCAGGGTTGCCAGATCTAAATTGCTGAAAGTAGCGAGCTGACTGTCTAAAAGTAGCGAATTTGTAATTAGAGTAGCCCAATTTTTTTTAGTGAATGATATGGGTTTCAAAGTAATATATTTTGATATATAGAGTTCACTACACGATGTTAATTGTTTTATTAATATTATTTCTGCACATACACACACATATTATAATATATATATATATATATATATATATATATATATATATATATATATATATATATATATATATATATATATATATATATATATATATATATATATATATATCGATTTTTTGCCGCCAGAGGTGGATAGTTCATTAAACATCCCCTATTCAACCAGTGAGTGGTGGTTTATTGTGCACCCCGAACCCCGACCAGTTGTGTAAGCGGACCCCGACCAGTTGTGTAAGCGGACCCCGACCAGTTGTGTAACTGCAAGCCTAGCATGAACGAACCGACAATAAATATACTTGAACTTGAAATGGACTTTAATGTTTTTTCGGCAGCTTTATTTCCTTAGTTTCCGAGCTGTTTTCTTTACCGTGTATGTTGTAATAAACTATTCCTATATTTACAGTTGTTTCTCCCTGTGAAGATTATTAAACAATGGTGATTATAAGGACGAGGAAGTTCAGCCTGGCCAGGGCCGCCAGCAGCCCTTGGGCCCGCCCCGGCAGCACCCAGTCTTTAATTTGGCACCTTTGTGGGACCTTGGTATAAGCCTAACATGTATATATACACTGGCTGCCTGTCCCCCCTACACAATGATTTATTATTACCTATTATTTTATCATTTAAATATTAAATAAAATAATTTATTTAATTATTATAGTAAGTACTTAATAATTTAATAATAAGTAGTAAGTACAGTACATAAAAGTAATTAAAAAGTACAGTTTAGTCATTCTAGATTGGAATTCACTACCAAATTTCGATATATCCAAGTAGTTTTAGTGTGAAATGCTGTTATTATATGCATAAATTGTTGTTTTAATAATATTACGCTTAACTACTTGGGCTGGACGGTAGAGCGACGATCTTGTTTCCTACAGGTCCGCGTTCAATCCCCGACCGCCCAAAAGGTTGGGCAAAATTCCTTTCCACCGTTCCATCCCAAATCCGTATCCTGATCCCTTCCGAGTGCTATATAGTCGTAATGGCTTGGCACTTTCACTTGATAGTTCCCCCACCCCCCTTATTATAATATTAGGAGAGCAGTATTTACGGGCTATTCATGCCCGTGCCACCTCTTGGGTGGCTTAATCTTCATCAATCGAGAGCAGTACGTCCTAACCAGACGTGATATGATATCATGAACAGTTGATAAATAAAAGTAATTGCATAACTCCAGTTATCTAATACTTATCATAAATGGTATAAAATCTTATCATAAGCCAAGGGATTTGTAGATCAGTGTTTAAAGGGAATTCGGAAGTAATAATAACACAGCTGATGCCATCTGTCGGCAGAAGAGAACACTATCAACTGGCTGGTCAACAGTGACCATAAGATACAGCTTACGCCATCTGTTGACATCAAATTACACTTATAACAAATTACCCCATAAAATACAACTAACGCCATCTGTTTTTTTTCCAACGCACTATAAATAGCCAAACAGCAACCCATAAGGTGGGTTGTTGTGCTCGGGTAGGAGGTTCCAAGCTCCGCCCACAAGTGGTATGGGGTGCATAATAAATGGCATATCATTGGTAGATATTCTTTATTGACATTCACACAACAGCCAATCACAGGAAGGGATCAGCTAAAGGCTCCATCCACTTAATAAATCATCTTTATTCAGCACACCATCCTTGCTTATGACATTCTGCTTCAACTTTAATCTACCTAAAAAGTGAAATGTTAAGTATTTAAAAGTATTAATATAGTGATAATTAAATACTGCAGGATGTAACGAGTGTTACAGAAACATGGGCTGGCTACCTAACTTGTGACGTTATTATTGGGGGTTGCCTGAACACAAATAATGATACACTGCTCTGCCCTCTTATTCGAGTAAATTATTCAGTTAAATGGAGATTTCTGTCAGGGGCAAAACAGAAATTGTTGTTCTTTTTCACAACAACCTTGTTGTTGTGCACAAGGACCTATTTCTTAGTTTAAATTTTATTCATAAAAGAGTGTTGGTATTCCCCGCAACAGCCAATCACAGGAAAGTATTTCTGGAAGCTCGGCCTCCTTATGGACTCAGCACATCGATCTAGCTCATGGCTCTCTGTTTCATCTCTTGTATATACAAACTATGACTTTTTTCGATTACTGTTTTAATTAATAATAGGAGATATAGAAGTTTTTACACAAAATGGCTAAATTCTGCCATTAAATGGACTTTGTCTGGTATACATACACCAATTTATTACCATTCATCCATTATTAATTTCAAATGTAATGTATATACTGTCTAGTTTTTTTCCTCTCGCCATTACTTGGTGCAATATTTGAAAGTTGTCTATTTATTTATCGATCTATTTATTATCTTGTATTTATATTTACAAGTTTCTGTGCTTGGAAGAAAACTCTGCATTGAATTGGGACTAATTTATTAAATAATATTATTTAGTATTAATTAATATTTACAACTATTATTAATCACAATTATTTATAGCTTAGTTACTTTTATGTAACTCGCAATCGTACAATCTTAACATTATTAGCCCAAATTAGCACATCTTGCTTTTAAATTAGCCCAAAAAGTAGCAAGTAGCGAAATTAAAAATTTTGGAGCGCGGGGCTCTCAAAAGTAGCCCAATTCGCTATTTGTAGCCCAATCTGGCAACACTGGGATAGCAGATTTTTGCGGGATGATGATGGACTTGAGGTGGTTTGTAGTGGTTGAACCCCATGCACAGATACCATAATTAAGATAGGGATAGATTAGTGCATAATATAGAGAGATGAGAGCAGAGTTAGGTACATAATATCTGATTTTGGAGTGTATACCAACTGTTTTAGAGAATTTCTTAGTTATGTGTTGTATGTGGGTACTGAAGTTGAGTCTCTTGTCTAGGAATAGACCTAGAAACTTTCTATCATTTTGATTGCTAATGTTTACATTGTCTATCTGAAGCTGAATTGCATTTGTAGACTTTCTTCCAAATAAGATGTAGTATAGGTCTTTTCTATGTTAAGTGTTAGTTTGTTGGTTGACATCCATAAGTGGACTTTTTTTTAGTTCATTATTAACAACATTATTTAGTGTATGTGGGTTGGGGTTAGAGTAGATGAGGGTAGCATCATCAGCAAACAAAATAGGTTTCAGAATGTTACAGACATTAGGCTGATCATTGATGTATATAAGAAATAGGAGAGGTCCCAAGATGCTGCCTTGTGGCACTCCAACGGTTATTGGTAGAGTGGGAGAGGTTATATTATTGATGGCTACACATTGGTGTCTATCACTAAGATAGGATTGGATATAGTCCAGTGCATGGCCTCGGATTCCATAATATAAACATTATTATCAATACGATTGACTAAATGTGAACGCCAGCTAGCGCGTACAAGAGCGACAAAAATGCGCATTGTTGATGTGACGACTTATACTGAATTTTGTAACTAGCTCATCAAGATTGTAACTTGCTTAGGTAAATGAATTGTGGGGTTCAGTCCCTGAGCCCATTATGTGCCTCTGTAACCCTTTCCACCATCGCCCACAAGATGGGTATGGGGTGCATAATAAATGAACTAAACTAACACTAAAGACATGTACTCACCTAGTTGTGCTTGCGGGGGTTGAGCTTTGGCTCTTTGGTCCCGCCTCTCAACTGTCAATCAACTGGTGTATAGATTCTGGAGCCCACTGAGCTCTATCAAATCTGCATTTAAAACTGGATGGAGTCTGCCTCCATCACATTACTGCCTAATGCATTCCACTTGTTAACTACTTTCTGACACTCAAATGTTTTTTCTAATGTCTCTGTGGCTCATTTAGGTACTAAATTTCCACCTGTGTCCCGTTGTTCGTGTTCCATCCATGTTAAATAGCTTGTCTTTGTCCACCCTGTCACCCTTTGATCGCGACATAAGCCAAACATGTATGAATACACTAAAATCAAATCAAATCAAATGTTTATGCAGGTAAAGTACATACATACAAGGTGAGATACAAACATTGATAGATTTATAGCTAGAGCTAGTACATACAATGCCTACAGCCACTATTACGCAAAGCGTTTCGGGCAGGGCACTCTGGCTTCCTGTCCCTCGACACAACGAATGATTCAGGTTTTGTGCGTTCGATCATGTTTGAGGTCTCCGCGGGAGTCGTTCTTATGAAACCCGGATTATGTCCATCACATCACTCAACTTCATTTAATAACTACGTATATGCATGTTAAGTAGAAGATTTGAACTGTTAATAGCATTACATTGTGGTTTGTACAAGAAACGTGCAAATTTTGTGCCCGAAATGATAAAAAATGTGTGTGTGTATGTGTGTGCGATCCGTCCTGTGTACCAAGTGAGTAAGTGACTAGTAACCGCTCAAGTTCTGCAACAACAACACATTGCAGCACTCAAGAGGGAGAGGAGGAAGGCTCCACGACACATTGCAGCACTCAAGAAGGAGAGGAGGAAGGCTCCACGACACATTGCAGCACTCAAGAACGAGAGGAGGAAGGCTCCAAGACACATTGCAGCACTCAAGAGGGAAAGGAGGAAGGCTCCAAGACACATTGCAGCACTCAACAGGGAGAGGAGGAAGGCTCCACGACACATTGCAGCACTCAACAGGGAGAGGAGGAAGGCTCCACGACACATTGCAGCACTCAACAGGGAGAGGAGGAAGGCTCCACGACACATTGTGACACTTGAGGGTACCAATGGCACACCAAGAATTGCAAAATATACAGGATGGAGTATGTATAATGATGTCATGTCTGATTTAATAACCAACCAGTGATATTAATCATAGTTTTCAATCAAATGAAATGTTTATTCAGATAAAAGTATATACATAGAGGATTAGTTACAAAACATAATGTTGGATTTATACATAGAGGTAGTACATACAATACCTAAAGCCACTAGTACGCATAGCGTTTTGGGCAAGGTGAGGTGGGGGAAAAACACTGACTAATTGAGCTTAAAGTATAAATTGCATTGAAAGAAAAAAATAAAAGATAAAAAAGGGGGGAACATGGTAGAAAATAGCCAATAGGCAAGTTGGTCAACAACAAACAGCATTGTTTACAAAAAGTAAGACATACTGGGTATGTCTTACCCAGTATGTCTTATCAATCCTGGGTATCAATGAGACATTGATACAATCCTGGGTATCAATGAGACATTGATACAATCCTGGGTATCAATGAGACATTGATACAATCCTGGGTATCAATGAGACATTGATACAATCCTGGGTATCAATGAGACATTGATACCCAGAATTGCTTTTCAAGTGTAGGTTTGATATAGAGTACTGTACTGTACATTTAAATGAATTTTGATGGAAATAAATAGGAGCTGTCTCATATGGGCCAATAGACTTTCTGCAGATTCCATTATTTTTGTATTCTTTTCTTAAGCTCAGCGTGATCTCTTGCAGTGTCATATTATCACTCGGTATTCTCAATTTTGTACAGTACAGTAATCAGTTTCACGTAAAGATTTTATTTATTTTAGATTTCTGTCCCATATGGTAGTGAAACTCTGCCTTTCCATTTATTTAAAGTAGGCATTTCACCTCCATTTGGTTCATGTAGCAATATTCAGAATATTAATTTAATATTGAAAAGCATTTGGAGCTGTATTAATAATATGCCTTCATGATTTACAGGACACTTCTTATGTGTGTGGAGAATGTTTTCAGCTGTTTACTTCTATGGAGTACTTCAATTATCATCATTGCACACCTTTGAAGTACAGTACAGCTAGTGGATATCAGGAAGTCAGCTGCATTGAGGAGTCTTTTTCTTCTCTAGATGAAAAAGGTATGGTTTATTTTATAATTAGAACATTAGTGTTAGTAAATCTGAGGAGAATGTGAGGAATTAGGAGGAGGGTAATGTTGGTGGTTCTTCAGCAGTGGCTGATACTCTTAACATCTGTGTATGGCAAAACCTGTAGCACCTTTATTATTGGGCTGGATGGTAGAGCGACAGTCTCGCTTCATGCAGGTCAGAGTTCAATCCCTGACGCTCCAAATGGTTGGGCACCATTCCTTCCCTCTGTCCCATCCCAAATCCTTATCCTGACTCCTTCCAAGTGTTATAGTCATAATGGCTTGGCAATTTTCCCTGATAATTTCCCCTTCCTACATTGTTGGGTAAAAAAAAGTTACAATAATTCCAGGAATTTTTCAACATGTTGATAACAGGTTATCCAAGAAGAAATAATTGGAATAAAATTATTTTACAGGCTGTATACTGTTTTCCATGATGGCTTTTTCAAAATAATACCTGTAGTTAAAAACTATTTTTTGATATTTACATTTATTTTTATTAAACGAATGTACAATCATAAATTGTGGAATGATACAAATGGTGGACATTTATAAAAGTACATTGATCATAGATAAAAATAATATTTGGTCAAAGACCTATGCCAAGGGAAAACTGGTTGAGCACCAGTACTCAGCCAAGGTCCAAGTCAGTTTGTTGACAAAAGCATACTATTAAGGTACAAAATTATTAATGTAAAAGATAGTAATTATTAATGTAAAAGATAGTAATTATTAATGTACAAGATAGCAAAATGCTGTCTTGAACATTAATATTAGATCTTTACCCTTGGCAGTTGCCAATGAATGTCAATGAACAATGGCATGTCAAGTGCTGGTCCATGGCCACAGAGGCAGGTGTGCAAATCAAAGTTCCACTAAATAATGTGAAAATGCCTATAATGAATATTAGCACAATATTGATTGTTCCCAAAATACTGTATAAGCAAGTGAAAATGTTGGTGGCTGATATTGGTGTCATGCCTGTGGCCAACTGGCCATGCTGGTACAGTACTTGTTTCTGTTTGTGAGGTATGATACTACATCTGTTAGTACAAAGGAAATCACAATGATGTGATATATCTAGGAGAAAATAAATGGAGCAATATGGCGTTGAACCAGTTTCCTGGTTAACACACGCTTACACACCTTGCTCCTCGGCCATGACATGCTAAAGGCAGGTTGTGGGACCCTACTGAGTCCACTAAGAAATCTGGTATCAGTTTATGGGAGCCTACTGAGTATACTAGGAAGTCTTATATTAGGTTTAATAGCCTTAAGCATGCCTTGGTCTAGGGGGCATGACATATAGCTTGTGTTAACCAGGACGCAGGTTCGATCCCAAGACAATTCCAATGATTTTCTAATTTTTGTTAGTTCTATATATGATGAGTAATGTATCTTTATGTATGTAATGGGGGATTCAGCTTGTATTTGCTTTTGTATGACACAGTTCATATTGTTACAGATTATGGAAGCACAGGGACTGAGACTGTCATGGACGAAGCTGTTGCTACCATTCTGGGAGAAAAAATGGATTTGCCAGAGTCTCGGAGAAATTCTTGCTCAATGACGCTTGATGAACCTACCATCCAGCTTAACACATGTGTTGCTAATAACAAGATTATGCATGGACCATATCAGCCCTTACCAAATGCAAGGAGTATTTCACAGTTCGAAGGAAGCCAAATGGATTTGTATCCTGCTCAATATGTGGAACAATCCATTGAACACTTGAGTATTGTTGATCAGCATGTTGGGCCTGTTGTGGAACATATTGTAGAAAATATTGAAAATACCTTAGAAAACACTGAAGAAATGCACTTTGGGCCAGGGATGACAGTGGAAAGTGTAGAAATCCCTTCGTCTAATGTTTACATCTTCGACAACCCTGTGTATCTCAATCGCCTAATGAAAGACAACACTTGTGGCAAACGAGTGAGGCATGATGCTCCCTACATCCATCGTTTAGGTAAGTTGTTCTTTGATGTTTAGTTTTATAGAATACTGTATTATAAAACTTCTCTACCACTTTTTGAGAGAATGCTAATCAAATATACTCTAAGTGATTTCAGATTTTCTTGTAATTTCTATACCTCTGTTGATTATTCATAAAAGGAAGTGATGTAAAAATGCACAAGTGTCTAATTGAAAACTTTCTTAGAGTTGGTATAATACAACTTTTGGTGCAACTACATACACCACGACATGATCAAAAGTGTTGCAACCTGTGATTCAACCTGAGATTTTAACCATGTTGTGACATAGTGGTCTAGAGCATTGCCTCGGAGTACCCAGCACATAGGCTCAAATCCTCCTCATAGCTCTCGACTGATTTTCTCATTGATACATCATGTTAATGTGATTTCTTTGTTCATTGATATATGTGGTAATATCTTCCTGTAGGACCCTGGGATGACAAGTCTAGTCAACTATTAATCCATCTTCTCAAAGTGTACCCAGAGGCATATTTTATTTGGGGTAAAAATTGCAAAAGAACAGAAGCCTGGGAATTAATACGATACAAACTCAGTGAAGCTGGTCATCACTTCACAGTACTGCAGGTAAGATTGTTGGAAGTGCCTGAAAACTTTACTGGCAGATTTAGTTAAGTAATTATTCAAATTTTATCATTCATCTTTCCTTGGATTTCAAGTTAGACTTGGATACAGAGTAAGAAGTGAATTGACTGTTGTAGTCTACATGGCCTATTAAAAACATTGTAATGTAAATAATATAATATATTTTTTTATCACATGTTTTGTTTCCCAACTTTGATATGTTTTGCACACCCATTACTTTACTGTTTTCTTATTCCAATAACCTTCATTTTAATTTCTTGAGTATTTAGCTATTTTTTTCCCCATTTTCTGGTAGGTTTTTACTGTTGTAGCTTAATGTTAAATGTCTGTCCTTGTGAAATGCAAGAGTTTTGAAACTCCTGCCATGGCAGCTACTAACCTGCATATGTGCTGTGGCATATTTACAATGGGTGAACTCCAACCTCTAAATGTAAGTCAAGAAAGTTCCCAGGCTATATAAACAATTCCAAGTACATTTTGTTATTGGAAAAAAATATTAAATTATAAGTGTTAAATGTAGAAACCCAATCTGAATGTCAATACGAAGCTATAAGAAATATAATTTGAAACTCTGAAACATTGGAATTGGTTGGTGAGAAGAGACGAATGCAAGGTGGAGTTGGCTATTGTGTGGGGAAATGGTGATACAGAGAGGACATTAGCAGTGGCCTCATGCCCTTATGTATCACCACCTCCCGCCCACATAATGGCCAACTTCACCTTGCATTTGTCCCTTTCCACCACCTGGTTCCTGGTTCCAATGTTTTTTGTGTTTTCAAATTATTTTTCTTATAACTTCATTTTGACGTTCAGACTGGGGGTTTCTACATTTTACACTTATATTTCATAATGTTTTCCAATCACAAAATGTACTTGGAATTGTTTATATATACCCTGGAAACTTTGTTGACCTATATTTAAAGGGGTGCATTTGCCTATTAGAAATATGCTACTATGCATGTGCAGACTAGCTGCTGCCTTGTTTGCTCTAATTAACTCTACCTTAAAAAACAAAAGGTAGTTTGTTTTTCAAGGTAGAGTTTTCAAGGTCCTTGTTTTTTTTACAAGGACAGACATTTAACATTGATACAACAATAAATACTTTAAAAGGTCCCTTCTTTACACTGCCTATTTTACTCCTGTTACAAATATACTATGTTGTGCTTTTCAACAGATTCGCATGCGATGGAGAGAACTTTGCAAGAGATATCGCAACATTGTCAACCATAATGATCAGCATGATACAAAACGAACTTGCCAATATTTTGATGATCTTAATGACCTATTTGGTAAATACTTTACTGTACTATTTAAAAACATTTTTGGAAGCAATAATTCCCAGTAGGTATTTAGTAATTGGTTGTAAACATTTGTATATTTTACATAATTTTTAGTTGCACTACTTTAATATGCAATAAACATCCTCTTCTGCATGCTGGGATTTAATGCATTCCACTTCTATGCCATGTAAAAATGAAAAACATAATTGGGAGGGCACCTCTCTTATTGGTGCCTAGTGACAGCCATGAGGCTCCTTTTGCTTCATTGAGAGTGTCAAGATTCTGGTTCAGACTCCAAAAGGCACGAGTGAGTCTTGGAGGCCTGTACAATTCCATAAGACTTGGTAACGACAGTCCTATAATTATGGGAAGTTACTGAAGAGGCCCTTCCAGAAATCAGGCTTTGATTAATATGTACGAAGTGTCTTTCATAGGTGATCATTTTATTGCTCCTGCTCCCACCCTTGCTGCCCTTCTTGCCCTGTGCTCAGTTTTTCTTTGAACCTGGAAGTACTGTATATAGAATGATCTGGGTGTTGGGTGCTGACACCTAGTGACAGCTGTTGTAAGCGTTCAAGCTGCCCTAGTGTTAGTTAGCTCGAACAAGCCTTTGATGATTGCTTGTGATGTTAAGGTGTGTTTGGAATTGCTTTGAGTTTGAGTGAACTGCTGTTAGTCATCCTGGATTGGACTAAATGTTTTCCAGTGACTCTAGTACTTTTATGACAGAGCAGGAATAGCATGAGAAGTTCCCTGTGGCACAAGTACAGTATGGTTTCTTACCTGACTGAATGAGCCTATCAAATGAATACAGTAGGACTTTAGGGAGCAGCAGAATGATCCATTCAGAAAGGGTATTTTATTACTGCTCAAAGCCGGATTTTGTTTCCGACTTTGTAAATTGTGTTACGTTTCTTTATCAGTACCACATAAGGTAAGGAATCTGAATGGTAGATGGGGTAAGGCTAAAATGGGACCTAGAGGAAGCAAAATGGTTAAACGAGAATAGACACCCGTAAATGGTAGAGGTACCATAGGTACACTTGGTGAACACTGTATGAACACCAGAGATCCTTGGCTATTCAGTATTCTTCTAGCAAACATAAGAAGTATAACCAGTACAAAAGTAGAAATGTTCATGAGGAAATTAAACACTCTTGCAAGTAGTATAAGACCAACTGGGTCGTAATGGATATGTAGGCTTACAGGCTGCTTCAACTAAGTCTGTTAGATTAAATTACAGTATCACATGTCAAGCCTGGGGTCGGACTTTGGGGAGTAGAATTATCCCAGATATATGCAATAGCATGCATTAAAAGTAAGCATAGCAAGGAATCAAACATAATTAGGCAGATCAACTTCGTGCATCTTTGCAAATTGAAAGTTTAAGTGAAAAGATTAAATTGAGGAACATTTTTTACATAAGCAGATCAGATTTTTGGATTTGCTTTGCTTTTACATGATTATTTCTTCATTTTAGGGGTTTGGGATTCTAAGGCCACATTACTTCTGATCCGAGAATTAGGAGCGAACCCTGCAAAGAGATTTGGGCAGAATGGAGGCACTCGTATGAGGTATAAAACATGGAAACAAGTGCAGGATGCTCTGTCAGAACATGGATATGAGTGAGTATTAGCTCCTTTGATGTTGCCTGTAGTACATAGTACATGAAAGACAGGATGCCTTAACCACTCTTCTGCACCGCTATTAAATATGACAAGCCCCCCCAGTGCACAGAAAAAAATTATTCCCCAATTTTTTTCTTATATTGTTAAAATGTGTTCTCTGATCATGGGAAATTTAAAAAAATATTGTATGTGACATACTTGCGCTGTGGTGATAGGAGGAAGTCTGACAATATTCTGGCGCAGATAGAGTATAGTACTGTACATGTCACCAGTGGTGTCCTCCACCCGAGTAGTGAGTACCTGTACTGCAAGTACATTTTTGCATAATTATTTCAATGTCTTTGAATGCTTTTATATCTAGTTATTTTTAGTAATATTATTTAATGGTGTGTAATATGAGGAATTTAGTCAAATGTGTGGAACATCACTTATGCTAAAAAATTTGGTGATCATATCTAGTGACTTTATATTATATTCTTAGATCAATCAGTGTTTTCGTTGTTATTACACTCTACACCCACATTATATACATTTATCTATATATGTATAAACCATGACGAATCGCTAAGTAATTGTAATGTGTGTGGTAATGAAATCTTAGTACATTATAAGAGCTACACACTATGACCAGCTGACTCGGACAACTTCACCTTGTGGTGCAGAATACCCAGAAATATACACACAGAAATCACAATAACGTGATATATTAAATGAACAAATCCACAAGGGCTATGATAAGGGTTCGAACCTACGAACGGGATGTTCCCAGATGCGCATTTTGACATGTTGTGGTTCAGTTGATTAAGACGCATCTGGGAACATCCCACGCATAGGCTCGAACCCTCATCACGGCCCTTGTGGATTTGTTCACCCAGAAATATACTATGTACATCGCTATTTATTACTATGAATACTGCAATTATCAGATTCCTATCACTAAACTATGAATATGAGTCATGTTCCATAAGATTTATTTTCTAAAGGAACATGAGATCATGTTACATGGTGCATAGTCACAAACCTCAGCTGTGTACTGAGAATGTCTGCCTCCTGCTTTGAACATCACAACTAACGTTGTATTCACTGATATATGAATTAGTGTACATAATTTGTATTACAGTCAGGATCATCTATGACATATCATCGCAAAAAATAGGGAGGAAGTGTCCTTGAAACCTGTTACACTGGGTACTGAGCAGACCTGGTTAGTGGGTCTACTCAGGCACTACTAGGTTTTCCATTTGTATAGTAATTTGTATGCAAAATGTAAGAAAAACATGGAAATAAATGCACATTTATAGTTTCACTGGGTGGAGGCGCTCTGCAAGGCTGTGTTTGGCACTTGTCATCACCTGGTGCTCAACTCTGCTCTTGATTCCTGTTTTATCCTTTGACGTTTCACTGATTGTTTTATCATTTGGTTTCCTTTATTTACATCCACAGAGAACTATTATATCCATATTTGCATCATACATGTAAAACCCAGGCAGTAATTGTTTAAAACTTCATATGATAACTGAATTCCTCTAGTAACATCATGACGATAGCCGCATTCAGAACCATGAAATGGTAGCAGGATTTTTTCGTGGGTTAAAGCTCCACTTTATCCACATAGACATTATATCCATATTTGCATGATACAGTACATGTAAAACCCAGACAATAATTGTTAACATCAACATGTGGTGATAATCGCATTTCCCCAAGGATCATCAATTGACGATAATTTCTGTCTAAGGATTAAAACAAGTAACAAGATAATTAGAAAAAGTATATTATTCATAGTGATTACATATGTATCAACAAGGAAGCTAAATTGGCAAAATTTCAACCCATCCTCCGAATTGACAGTACATTTTAATACCAAGTGTAGGCAGTACATTCACTGACTGCCATACATAGTACATAATTGCACTTATGGGGCTGTTACATTTACCTCCCCATTTATTCTCCTCATTTTCTGTTAAGACACTCAGAATTTTAGGATGAAGTTTTAAAGTTCAGTTCACTCTACACAAGTTTTAAATATCAGGAATTTCTTTTTCAGTTTTATTAAACAATAGATTTTATACAAAATTTAAAAATATCCTGAGTTACTTTACAATTTATTGAAATATTTTAGTTTTGTTTTATTTGTTTTATAAAACTGTAGTATCAATATAGCTATAGGTTAAGTAGTAATTGTAATTAAGAAGCAATAAAATGCTTATCTTCAAAAACTAAGACGTTTAGGTTAGGTTGTAGTTTTCTATTCAGCTTTTCAGGTAAACTGAAATATTCACAATATATTTGACAGTACGGTTTAATACAAGTGAAAAAAGTACAATTTCTGACTGACATATATAGTATATAATTGCACTTATGGGGCTGTTACATTTACCTCCCCATTTTTGGAGGATGGGCTGCAAATTTTAGCTATGTAAGCTACATGGCTGAATTTATTCCTAGCGTACGAACATATGTTTTGTTTTTCTTGTCAATCTGTTTTTAAATAACTGGCTTAGCATGATAAATAATTATTATATAATTATAATAAAACATTGAGGATACCATTCCATGAAGATGGATGATTGGTTCAAGTTAAGTAAAGGTAATAGACAAAATAATGGCATGATAACATTGGTGATAATATATTGAAGATGCTGAATATGAAGTTTTTCTGTTTCCAGATACACCGCACACCAAGTTCATGGGCGGTGGAATGCACTAGTGACATTATACCGGAAGATGGCAGAACACAACTGCAACGAAAGCAAAGAAATAATGACTGTTGCCTATCAAGATGCCATAGAAACTGTGTTTAAGTATGTCCCGGAGCGTAAATCTAAGTTGGCTAAAATTCGTGCAAAGCAAGGCCAGACAGTTAAGGAATTTCAGAGCAAGTACAGTATTGTCTTTGGTATATGTTTATATGAAACTTTTAATTGTGAACTATGACTGGTGAGTGAATTGGTTTTCATGTTTGGAAGATGTTTATATGTATTTCATTCTCTTTAATCATGATGTGTGTTAGAAGAGGGATGGATAAATAGGCAGTATGTATATGATGCATTGGATTTTTACAGGAATTTAAGTACATTTCACACACCATTCTTCATCTTAATCGACATTGTCTTTTTTTTCATAGAAAAGTGGACCCTGCATGCTGAACAAATTCTTCTCAGAGGTTACAAAGAAAAAATTGAACTGTTTATTAAAAGTAAGAACAAGAGAGAAGTTTGGGAACAGATTGTGAAGGTAAGACATATTTCTTAACATACAGTATATCTTTATGGAACATTTTTATGCAATACAGAATTTGAAATGCAATATTGAAAATGGTTTGTCATGTTTTGAGTATTGTTTTGTCAAGGAAACTTATGAAGTTCATGAAAATAAAAGTCGAGCACCTGGAGTGGTACGATGCACCATAAGACAATGTCTTACGGTGACAACGATACACAGAAAAAAAGCTTCTGAGTGAGCAGTGTGAAGAGATGTGGTCAAATATATTACAAGCAGGGTGAAGGGAGAGGATGCGGTAGAGCATTATTATAATTAATGGTTCAGAATAGAATACTGTGCAGTATTGTACTTTACCATACGAAAATGTATTGTGTACATATGACCTTAAGACCTTCAGTACTGTGTATATTTTACATGGAAAATATAAGCTTTAAACATGCCAATAGCAGCTTAACCTAATTTAACCTAACCTAACCCAAAAATTACCATACAAGTGTTTAGCAAACTCAGTTGTGACTGCCAGGTGCCGAGACGTCACAGGTTGAAGGTCTGTAGCGTTCGGAAAGGATCAAACTCTGTATCTGTTTTGACCCCATCTCATGTTGTCATTGGTCTCCTTGAGGATCTGTTGTTTGCTCCTGCCTATTGTATGAATACAGTATAAACTTCCCAAATCTGGATTTATCACGATTGGAATCATTTATAATTAATCAAATGATCATTGTCATGAGGGAATTAGTAACGTCTGATTGGTGCTTCTCCTGTACATCTTGTTCACAAAAAATTACCTATCATTTGTTTCCTCCTCCACCGGGGATCGAACCCAGAACCTTAGGACTACGAATCCCGACCGCTGTCCACTCAACTGTCAGACCCCTTGTATCAGGCACCTAAGTTTGTATTAAAAAGATTTGGTAAATTAAATCCTTTAGATATGGAGTATCCTGGTGTATCATATGAGAGGGCAGAAACACATGATTAGCTCATAGGGTCAGTATGGGCCTGGTTATTTTAGCAGGGACATTCAGGCATATCTGACGACCAATAATTAAAGTGTTTATATTTAAAATGTTATGATTTAAATAATATTTTATTCCAATGCAGATGATGGAAGATGATGATCACCACACTAGTGTAGAGAAAGTTAGGACAAGATTCTATGAATTATCAAAGCAATATGAAGCTGTGCTACGTCATAATTCTCAGCCTGGTACCCTTTATCAAACTCTGTATCTGTTTTGACCCCATCTCATGTTGTCATTGGTCTCCTTGAGGATCTGTTGTTTGCTCCTGCCTATTGTATGAATACAGTATAAACTTCCCAAATCTGGATTTATCACGATTGGAATCATTTATAATTAATCAAATGATCATTGTCATGAGGGAATTAGTAACGTCTGATTGGTGCTTCTCCTGTACATCTTGTTCACAAAAAATTACCTATCATTTGTTTCCTCCTCCACCGGGGATCGAACCCAGAACCTTAGGACTACGAATCCCGACCGCTGTCCACTCAACTGTCAGACCCCTTGTATCAGGCACCTAAGTTTGTATTAAAAAGATTTGGTAAATTAAATCCTTTAGATATGGAGTATCCTGGTGTATCATATGAGAGGGCAGAAACACATGATTAGCTCATAGGGTCAGTATGGGCCTGGTTATTTTAGCAGGGACATTCAGGCATATCTGACGACCAATAATTAAAGTGTTTATATTTAAAATGTTATGATTTAAATAATATTTTTATTCCAATGCAGATGATGGAAGATGATGATCACCACACTAGTGTAGAGAAAGTTAGGACAAGATTCTATGAATTATCAAAGCAATATGAAGCTGTGCTACGTCATAATTCTCAGCCTGGTACCCTTTACCGTGAGTCCAAACACCATGAGATCTTGGCAGATGTAAGTATCCGTGCTATATTTGCTAGGTATACCCTGTAGGGGAACCTTATGGTTCTGGTTTGTAAATTTATTTCTGATGTTTTCTTGCTTGAGATTTCGGTTCTGTATGTCGTCATACAATGTATTTACATCAAACTTAAAATACTTATGCAGTTATTAAAGTTAATAATGTACAGGGTAGTCTAATACCAAATATTTCTTGAATTATCACATTTGGGTGCCTCCAAAGTTATGATTCCCTGTGTCATATAACCAAAACTGGAAACAAATCAGTCTTACTAACTGCTCTTTGCTTGTCTGGTTTCCTACCTGGAATGTATTAATCCAATTTACATTCTCTCTTATGGGGAAAAATTGTTTGGTACTTGAACAGATCAGCACTTGAACAGCCTTCTGGAACCAATTCAGTTTGAGTACTGAGGTTCCACTGTATTATAATCTGGAGGAATAATGAAGTTCTTTTATGCAAAATATTGTGCATTGTCTAATTCTGTGTTTATTGTCATTAATACTTTATGATATCTTTAAAAAACAGTAAATTTCATTAGTATGTATGATATGGTCTGGCTGTCCCTCATATGAGTTAGCTTTCCTGAGGAAGTGATCAGATGCAAGCAATCCTAATATTTCTTTATTTTCCATGGTGAATTCCGACAATGCAACTGTTTGTAGGATTTGGTAATAATGAGTAGTGGTTGGTGTAAAATCTTTGTAGTCTAATGATGTTTGCTTTACGTTGCAGATCTACAGTAGCCATAACTGCTGGCCTCACGATGGTTCCACAATGAAGTCTGACAACTCCAGTTCATTGCGATTGAGGCAAAGTGTGTTCCATTTAATTTGTTATATTATTTCACTATCAGATTTTTGTTAAATCATTTGTCAAAAGCATATTTAAATATGAAGTGTAAAGGTATTTTCAACCTTACTGGAATTATAATTGGAGCTTTATTCCTAACAGTTGGTACTATATATATTTGCAATTGATAATTAATGCTGATACATACATACATATACTGTACAGTGCTATAAAAATCACTAATCAAAGGTTGGAGAGAAATATTGTATTTTTGAACATGTAATGTTGTCAACAGTGAAAGCTCAGATGGTGTGGAGTGATGAAGAATCCCGAGCTGTTCTCACGCTGTATCCTCAGGTGTTAATTGAACACCTGAGGAATGGTGACCAACCACCTCTAGAGGAGCTATGGGTCCAGCTGGCTAAATACCTTTTTTCAACACACAACTTCTTCAAGCAACCATATGAGGTATGTGCGGCTCTCCTTGACCACCGTGTCTTGTGCTGTTAGACAAAAATGCTAAATTATTGTATAGCAGTCTGTAATATGAATATAATATATGTATGTATATATATATATATGAATATATATATATATATATATATTTATATATATGAATGTGTGTATAGTATTTGGTTTTTTGTTTTTGGGAACAGAAAGCATGTTATGGTTACTGAGGTCCCTCCCCTAGGCCTACAACTGATTTTCCTCAGGCTGTAACCCATAACAGCTGGCTGACTCTTGGGTACCTATTTACTGCAAGGTATAAACAGAAGTGTAATGAAACTTACTCAAACATTATGCCCTGCACAGGAATCAAATAAAGAATGAATAGAGGACTACAGTATATATTATTGTGTGTTCTGTTCACAAATTGTCAGTTTCAGTTTAGATATATGAACATATTTTGGGAACAGAGAGAAATGTAGATATTTTTATTCTTCCTAGTAGCTCGGCATCCAGCCCATCCTCCTAATAGCACATTGTATTCTGACACATACTTTACCCAAGGCCAAAAGCTGTCATACAAGAAAATAGTAGCGGCTCGCGAAATTGACATAATGTCCTGTTTTCTGTCTGTGGGTCCTCTGGTGGGTCAAGATAAGACACTTTAGTAGGACAGTTTCTCGATGTTGGGAAAGTTCAGCATCATCCATAAACATCATTATATAACTGTATCCTCTCTGGTTGATCATTCCTCTTGTAAGACAGTGAAGTTTTTTCCTTGGGATTAATGCACCTTTCCCATTACTTTTTTGTTCTTGATCCTTGTGTTGTTCTTTCCACTAATGATTCACATCTTGCATTCTCTCTATTTGTAGATGGTTTTTAATGTTCACATTCTCCTCCTTGGGAAGGTACACTGGTCTCTTTAATTAATTTATTTCTGCCTTTTACACAAAACAGTTTGACAAGGTTTCCTGAATGAGTCTTTGTGACAATTTGTCTTAGCACCACATCCATTCATACTCATAGCTTCTTGTACTATCTTCTCTATCCCTTTGGGTAACTTGAATATAGAACATGTCATCTCTGTTTTGCATTTTTCAAGCTGTTGTTATCTCTATCATCACTTAGCCCTTCTTTGCTTTTCATAAACTCTGACCTAACTTTCCTTTCAATATTTCCTCCAATTGTGCCATTATTGTTGTTACTTCTTGCTTAAACTCATATTTTTCCATGTTTAATTCTTTGATCATACCTGATGAACTGTCATTTTTTAGTCAGCTGTGTTTCCTTGGCCCTATTTTGTTATTTTCCAGTTCCTTGATGCTGTTTATTAGTCCTGCTATTACTGCCATCTCCTCAGTAAATCCCTCAAACACCTTTTCATTTTTCTGCCTCTGTTTACAGCTTCACTTAACACCTCCACTTCTGCTAGCAGCCAGCATTAAAGTGACTGTGATTGGTCCATCACTTCAAGTACCAACATCATGGTTAACAAACTGCTGCCATTGAGGCAGTTTCCTGTTGACTAACAGTCTCTCTTTTTTTTGTTATTTTATTGTGCCCTTTGAAATCATTTATTTCTTGTATATGACTTTAAATTGTTGGGATTTCACCAAGCATTATTACTCTCAAACTTGTTCCAGCAATGATTAGTTAAGATCATTATTATCGGCAACTGGAGGCTCATAACACCGTATACATATTGATACCACAAATGTGTGCTTGTTTGCTTGTGTTTTTGTTTTGTATTTGTGTTTGTGGGTGTTTTTTTCATGTACATGTGTATTCAATATTTGTGATTGCAGGAGCAAGCTGTTAGCTCTTTGACCCCACCTTTCTAACTGTTGCTTGTCTAATGTATTGACTCCGACCTATTTTTTCCTCTATCATATCTACTATATATTTCTCTCCAACACACACATGCGCGCGCACACAATTCCCAGGATGCAGGCTGTTACAGCTGTCTAACTTCCAGGTACTTATGGCACCTGGAACTTACAGTTGAACAGAGGCTTTCAACTGATTACCTGGTGAACAGAGGTATCAGGTTAAAGAAATTTGCCCATTTGTTTCTGTGTTGGCCAGGAATTGAACCCGGGCTTCTTTGGACTATGCCTCCTGAGCACTGTATACTCAGTTTTGTGTATATATGTGATTTTTCTTTTCTTCATATGCATTGCACTGGTAACTTTGTATGTGGAGGAAGACAAATTAAATTGTAATGAAACACAAATGCTTGTGTATTTCAGATAGAGGAACATGTAGCTCTACTTCGGCAAGGGTATAAAAGCCAAAACCCTTTCCCCTTCAGAGCAGAGATGGAGCTGCTGGAAGAGACTGAGCGTACCTTATGCTTTTCTCCCGAATCACCGTCAACAGTTCTTGCCCAGGTGGCTCAGTATTGGAGCCATTCTGCCGCACATTGTATGCTCAACTATGTCATACATTACTACCAAGAAGGAATAAAAGTATTTAAAGAAAATTTGTTTGATATTATCAATGATGATATGAAAAAGCTTGGCTACAGGTAAAGTATGATGGTGATTCACTGTTGAACTGATGTGCTGGCACTCATAGGATTTTTCATAGCATTTTGATATGCTTTTACATTATTATTATTATAGATCTAATTTTGCATGTAAGTTTTTGTGATATTGGAATATTAGATAATATTGTGACTGTTGAATTATGGTGCTATTAGAGAAGTTTATTATTAAGATAATACATAAATATTTTGTGGTCTGAGTCTTGGATACATGAGCATGGTAAGTGCATTGTATTAAACAAAGCTGTTTATGTATTAACTGCTTCAAATTAGATGCTTAAAAATAGTAACAATATCAAATAAATCATGTAAAGTTAGCTGGAAACATTCCAGGGGATGATTAGTTTTGAAAAACAACTTTGTGTATAATGTAAAGAAGTTGGTGTTAAAATATTTTGAATATTTTTTTAATTGATTGTAATATCCAGGTACACTACTGAAGAATGTCGGCAGTTCTACCAGTTGCTTAAAAAGATTTACAAAAAGAAGGTTGAGGTCTTGAAAGAAGGCAAAGACACCTTTAAGCTGTGTCCTTATATGGACAAGATGGAAGAACTGGAGGCAGCGATGATTAAAACTGAATTTACTGGTATGTTTTCTGTTGTAGTTCCCATGAATTACGGGTACAGTACTATACTGTACTTGATTAAATGTGGGATGTCTTATAGTTTGGGGTAGTTTTTCTGAATTATCACATCTAGATGCTACTTGGCCTCTTGCCCTGCTCCACTCATTAACTACGATTTCTTCCTTTGCTCCAATTGCCATTTGATTTGTTAATTATTTTGAGTTGGGTGCACTGTAATGAAGTACTTTTTAATGACTGCACAGTTCAGGGGTTAAAGTAAGATTTGCTGTTATATGACAAGGATCATGAAATCGGGCAGGATAAACATTCCAGAACTGGCACCACAGAATTTTGAGACGTTCCTTCTGGGTAAGAAAGGTGATTGGAAGTCACTGGGAAAAATAGATATAATATTAATGAGGATATAAAAGGTGAATAGGGGGTACCCCATTCCACATGGGAAGAAACAGAATGAATAGTTTCAGATGAAGTTTGGAAACACCAATGACTCTGAAAGGCTCAAGATAGTGCTCCTGTGTAGTAAGGGCAGTAAGCAAGTAAAATAAAATGGAGAACAGATACTGTAGTATGATCCCTTATCGTAGATTAAGAGCAGATATGATGGAACATTTGAAAATTGTGAAGTACAGTTGCACCAGTGTCTTGATATCTAAGAGATGAGTCCTTATGTCTCACAATTGTCTAGGGATCTGGTCGTGGGTCTAATAATTTGGGCTGCAGACAGATTTTATGTTCATGGCACTGTTCTGGTTGACTCATGAATCATTCATGCCAGGGTCTCTTGATAGTGCTGTGTGATGTGATATTTTCTATATATGTAGTTTGTTTTGTTCTTATTTAGCTGTGGTAGAATGCTTCTTCAATGGGAAGAGACAGGACTGAACAAGAAGCAAATTCATTTTGGTAATCATTTCAAAGCTGACATCTCTCAAATTTAGGTCCAAAGGAGTTTGAGTAGACAGCTGGCTAATGTGAGTAAAGCTCCTGGGGTAATGAAGGGATCAAGCCCAGAACACAGATTCTGGAACACTACATATGACACCCAGGAATTCCACTCTTATCATTGGAGCCTACCTCAAAATGGCTGTTGAGAGCTTTTGCTCACTCTCCCCAATGTGGGCAGAACCAGGTGAGGCTACCAGAAGCTACCATTTCCATCCTCTAAATTCATGTGAAGAGGTTTTGTTCTTGGAACCTTGAGGTGTGCACCTGGAAAGGGGGGGGGGGGTGTAGGCAGGCAGGCAAATGAGTAGTTAGTGAGACCTCTCTGTTGACAGTCACTTGTGATGCCAAGTGAGGGCTTGGATAGGACTAGTTTTTATAAACACATCATTGTTGATCATCCTGGCCTGGATTGGGTGGTCTCCAGTAACCCCATAGAACCTACTATGGCTGTGCAGCAGTGCTTGAAAATTACCTGTGGTTGTATTGTAAGAATGTCATCCTGCATGACTTGTATGATCCTTGTCAGAATGTACCCATTCCTGGTTCTCAAAATCTGCCATGTGGCTGTCTAAGGGTGTAGTTGGTAATAGAATGTGATGGCTCAAAAATGCGCTTCAGTTATCAGTAAATTAATTTTTCTACTAGGGAAAAGAGCGAGTAATTTAATAATACAAAGCCTCCCTCTTCCTTACTTCCAGTGTACATTTATTATATTAAAAACTGGAAATGCAGAACAAAAGTACTTGATAAAAATACACTTTAAATACAAGAGGGAACACCAAGTGACTGGTACGACTGTTTTGAATGAGACTTAAACAAACCACCAAGGTGCATGTATTGCATTTTATAATCACAATGATATAGGAAAAATATATATGGAAAATAATCACTTAAGGATACACAAATCTCCCAGCAGTCACTGGGAGAAAACCGACATGACATAGACATCTCGCTCTGGAGGTGGAGGGGCCTCACGGGCACAACCCAACACATGACCTCTCAGCTGACTCCCAGCTCCCCTCTGTGGGTGGTGGAGAGCAGTGATGTTACCCTCTCACAAAAATATGTAGGAAATCTCCTTTACACACACACAAACATTTTCTCATACACTACTCAACATACTGTACTTGCAAACACTAGTAAATAAAAACGTACAAATTGACATTGACAGCAATAAAACTACTGTAACCTATATTTAAATACCGTTCATACTGTAATAGAAAACATTTACATTAATAAAAATAAAAGCTAGATATTACATACCTGTCATTATTACATTGAAACCTGCGTAACACTCGACTCGACAACAAATATATGTATTTGATCAAAAATGATTGTGTTGATTATATGAAATTATTGTAAATAAAATATGAATAGGAGAACTTTCATTTTAATTGCAATCGGAAATAAAGTTGTCAACTCATTAGCCACAATTGTTTGATTTAGTAACAGATAAAGTGTATATGAAGACAGTCACAGCAGCTTCATCCAGTTTGGAAGAGATTGAAGGAAGCGATGAGAAGTCGAAGCGTGCATCACTGGAAGTGGAACTTTTGAGGATTAAAATGCAACTGATGCATGTTGACTGTGTTTCTCCCCTGCTACCCGTCAAGGGTGTAAGTCTTACTATTGTGTTAGTTTTTCTGGGTCTAAACTTGTAATTACATAATTTGTATCAGTTTTCAACCTTATGTGTTATTCATGGGGAAGCTTCAACATCCTGTGCACCACAGGCCCTCTCCATTTATTAGGGTTTTCGGTAAGGGCAAATTATAACGGAGTCATGTTATTGTACTTGTTCTCTTTTGGATATGAATCTATACAACACCTTGAATACATTGTATTACATTGAAACTTAAGTCATTACTTAATTTTGAACAAATATGTATGGCTTCTATTGATATTTAGTATATAAACCCCATTGCAACATTTTTTTTTTTAATATACTGTGATGTCTTCAGAACCTCATCATATTGATTTGAAATCTACAATACTTACACATGATAATTTTGTGCTGTTGTTTTTATATTATTATCTTCACTGTGCGTCAGTACGGTATTTAATTCTGCCGCTACCAAAATTAATTCACTGTGTTCAATGAACAGTCAAGGAGGACTACACAGTGCACTGAAGACATGGGGATGTTTTCAAACTGTCCCTGGAGGATCACTAGATAATTTCTGGAGAATGATCAGTTCAGCCAAGAGTGACTGACAGGTCTGTTCATAAATTCATGCCTTACAGCAAGCACTTTTCCCCATCCCCCACTCACTGGACATAACAGTATGACCACTGAAAACAGACCCTGGTAAACTAGTAATTAATACACTTGTATTCTTTCATGAATCTTCAAGGGCCATAACGACACACACCTCTAGCTCTCAACACTTGAACCACCTTATATACTTCTTCACATGCAATGACAGGCAGGGACCAGTTTTAACAAACGGCCTGTTTTTTCGGGCTTTGTCTGCCTGATTATTCTTCCAGCCTGTCTTAGTTCATCTGAAGTATAGTGCTGGTGGTGCCCAGCAGTGAACTTTGCTCTTTGATCTTATACCACTTCGTACATGGCTCTCTTCAGACTACTTGTACTTCTACTGCACTTCAGGTGCTTGTCTTGAAGTAGAACAAGTTCCAGGTGTCTGTTCCTTAATATTTGCATTGTTGTTAGGATTGGTTAGTGTACCCTGCAGCTTCTGTGTTGGCCAATTTCATGGATAACATTCATTTGACTGGAGTTATTGGCATTTCTCTCTCTAATAGGGTGTCAGTATCAGGTTAGGGCTCTTTAGGAACTGTGAACTTTGACTGCAGACTTCTGCTTTATACTGTAGTGACAGGAGCAGGAGATCTGATTGTCTGTCTTTAGTCTTATGTTACCTTGTTTTGAGTTGTGTAACTTAGCACATATGGCCGAGTATCAAGGCAACACTCAAGACTAGCTGGTGCAGGATGGAGGTAGAGTTCTTTTTCCTCCAAAGGCCACCAGTGTTGCTTACTTCATTTGCACTGTTGGGTTCAGAGGTAGTTTTACCCAACAGCTTGAAGGTATGTTGCAAGTGGTGTTCACGCTCTATGTGTCTCCTTTGCTATTGGCTGCTTTTAAGGATGCCATTAAGGTGAGAAATAAAGTGGGGCTGAACAGTAGAAAAGCATCGACCTCGGAAGAGGATGAGCAAATGAGGAACCGAGTCCATTCCGGAACCAAAGGAACACGAGAAGCTATACCCCATCTAGCAGCCAGAGAAAAGCATTGCCTAGAATGACCTGTCACAGGCAGTGACAGCTCGTGTCGACATAGAATGTGGAAATGGCGTTACTATCATGCAGCATGAGACCTCTCGTTTTGTCTCGTATTTAATGAAATATTTCAAGATTCAGTTATAAATATACTGTTTTGAAATTAACATATAAAGACATTTTGTTATGACACATTTGTTAGTTGCGTATTATTCTAGTGTGAGGTTGATGGAGTTTGCACCTGGCAGCTGGGTGTCTGGGGGGGGGACTGCAGCACAGTAACTGCTATGGGTGAACCACCACTGGTCACAGAGCCCACAAAAGCAGAGTGCAGGCAAAACACATGTCACCATTACACCAGTCTGTCCCTATTACACCAGCCTGTACTGCTTACATTTCCTGAACTGAATATACCTCATGTACAGCAGTAATTGCTTCATGCTGTAATAATTACATTCATTGTACTCTTTATCTTACTCTGTTAATATTCGGAGGTATTCCTGCTCAGGAATTCCATTCTTGATTATACTTTTGTTACTAAACACTTACTTGATTTTTGTATTCATTGGAAATAGGTTTTAAGAGTTTTGAAACATACTGTACTTGTCATAGACTAATTTTCTTTGATGTTACACTTTCCCAAAATTATGAAAATCATTTCAACTTTGCTAAATTCCACAAATCATTGTATTGCATATACATTATTAATCGTTAGAAAAAAATTATATATTGTACTGTACAATATATTAATTTTGATTGAAATTAGTAGTATATATATATTGGTTGTCGTATGATGCACCCAGTTGATTTGAGTAATTCATTTAATTTTTTTCAGATTGCACATGTTCTATTGAAGTTTTTGAATGAAGAGAACAGTATTCATGGGCTAGATAACTGCATAAATTTAGAAAGAATTTCCACCATCTTGCATCCCCATATAAATATTTTGAACTTAATCTCACGTAAGTTAAATCTAATCAGTGTTCTATTAGCTATAAATCTAAACAGTATTCAAGTAGCTATAAATCTAATCAGTGTTTTAGTATCTATAAATTTAATTGGTGTTTTAGTATCTATAAATCTAATTGGTGTTTTAGTATCTATAAATCTGACATGTATTGTATTGATTTGCATCATATTGTATAAATTTTATGAGTACTGTACTGTATTTGCAATATTGTAAGTCTTCACTCATTATTTGACATCCCTTATTATCTAATCAGCCTCCATATCGTAATTTTACTAATTCTGCTATTTCCTTCTTCGTGTATTTTTATTTCTTTGTGTTTTTCTTTTAAATATTTCTTCACCTTGTTTCTCTCTTTTATATGCTTGCTGAGACTTTAACCCCTCTGTGTGACAAGTGGTGTCTGATTAACTGTTGTGGTGCCCACACCAGGAGGTGTCTTCTACAAAGGTTGGTCGAGGACTGGGCCGCGGGGACACTAAAAAGCCCCGAAATCATCTCGAGATAACCTCAAGATAAGGTTTTGGGTGTTCCTTAAAATCTTCTTATCTCTTGAAAGCACGTGAAAGTTCTGGGAAGGATTATATGTTATGTGTTGCCTGCCCCTGAAGGCTAGGGGAAGCTATATAAATAGAAGTAAATGAAGCAAGAGCGTTGCCTGGAGTAGTGATGGTGACCTTTATGTACAAATGTGAGATCAGAGCAGTGGAAAAGGACACTTGGAGATGAGTGTTGTGTTAGGAGAATAGATAGAGTAAGGAATAAAAATGGCAGAAAGAGTGGAGTTCAATAGTCAGTAATTAGCAACATTGAGGACAGCACACTAATATATTTTGAGAATTTTGAATGGTTGGATGATAATGGTAGTGAGAATGCATTTAAGTGAATTTGAGGGTATAAGGAGAGAGTGGAAAGGCTATGAGCACATTAGGTGGACATGGTGAGTGAGTGTGTGTCTGTGAGAAGGTGGGGATTTTGTTTATGTAAGTTTACAAGGCTAAGTAGAAACAGTTTGTTAAAAAAAATAGGGTATGTATTTGTTTCTACTGTAATGGCTATGGCAGTTGATGAAGAGGAAGGTGCACTGTCTTATGAAGCAGTGGAGTGCAGCTGTGGATGACACTGCTGCAGTTGCTGATACGTGTTTATCCATGATGCTATAAACGCTAATGTAAATAATATGATAAATGGATGAGCAGGTTTTTTTTATAGTAACTTTCACTATCTTGCCTTTTGACTTGTCCCACCCATAAAAGTGGGAACGTGATAATGATAATGTATTGAATGTGTTGCTTTGTTCTTGCTTATACATTAATGTTATATTTGACTTATCATTTTCTTACAGAAAGTGGACTGCAATGCACACACTACAAATCACAGCCAGACACTGCAAGAAAATTGAGGAAAACAAATCTGCCACATAGTCAGTTTCAATTTATGGATTTGAACATAAAAACTTCTTAACCTTTGCACTGAAAACATTAAACTTTGTTGGCTGTAACTTTAATATAAATGATTATTAATATATTTATATCTTGATGCATTCTTGTATGTTTGATTAACTATTCTTTTTACTTGCACTATTTAGAGTCTGGTTCAATAAAGTGGACAACTGATAATATATGCATTATGCTGGATACTGTGAAGGAATGGCAGCTATTGTGTCATGATGATGCTGAAGTGGAAGCTACTAGAGCAGAGGGTCATCCTATGTGGAATGAAGTGGCATACAGATTAAGTCGACGCTATAAGAAATGCCCTAATGTATGTCAAAAGTTTTTTACAAATGTAAGTGATTCTTATATGACACTGTATATTGCAAAGCTCTCTTGAGGTTAACAAATTATATATTGTGGGAAATATTCTGATTTATGATGTCTGTATATACACACACTTAAATTTTTCCTGATGTTCATGCTTGAAGAGAAAGTTGACTGCAAAGTCAGAGGAAGAATCAGTCACCAGACCCCACCACAATGCAATGACCATCCCTCAGGTACTGCTTGGGAGCATCAGTGGAAAAAATGAGTGGTTCTGGGATTGGTACTACCAGACAAACTACCAGGGTCAAAGAGGAACAGAATTCCCATTTATAACACACTTCTTCCTGGTTGTGACTGTGCAAGCAAGGGCTGTAATTGCTTAGGATCCACTTGCAAGTTGTCTGAGCTAGAAGAGCTAAATATGTCTGTAAAAAAAGAGGGAATACTGTAAAACTCGTATAAACTGAGAACCAAGTCGCGGAGGCCAGATGGCTGAGTGGACATCACTTGGGATTCATAGTCCTAAGGTTCTGGGTTTGATCCCTGGCAGAGGCGAAAACAAATGGGCAGAGTTTCTTTCACCCTGATGCACCTGTTCACCTAGCAGTAAATAGGTACCTGGGAGTTAGACAGCTGCTATGGGCTGCTTCCTGGGGATGTGTAACAAAAAAGAGGCCTGGTTGAGGACTGGGCCACGGGGACGCTAAACCCTGAAATCATCTCGAGATAACCTCAAGATAGGGGTGATATCTAAATGCACGAGACTGAAGCTTGAGTCATGAGATGAGCTGCTTGCCGAGATGACGGGTTGGATCCACACACACAACAAGAAACACTCCCAAGGGAGGGGGCTGACCCAACAGGGGAAATTCTGGAAGTAGAAGATTTGATTGTATGAAACAGAGTTTGCCACTGTTCTGATGCATCATGGCAAAGAACTGCTTGTAACAAATCGTGAGACTCAAGACAGGTAACTGTGTAATTACCAAAGTGTATTTACAGGATGAATACTATTCATGTGGTGTCCTATCTTCCCGGTACTCTGTCATATGACCCTAAGCAGACTGTCATGATATTGTCAAAATGGAACAGCAGTGAAATAACGAAAAGAAAAATATAGTGTAGTAGTGAGTAAATAAAATTTAAGATAGTGGCACCGTGCTAAAGTCATGTTTCTACCGGTATATGCCAAGTTCGAGATTTCAAAATTTGCTTTCCCCTAAACAGTTTGGTTGAGATGGACAAAAAGTTTGCTCACAGCATCTTAATTAATATACAGTATTTTAGAATGACATTTTCCTCGTATGCAAATTAAAGTTATTGATTTCTTTAAATAGTTGCAAAATATGACCATATGCATTAATGGCCTTATATCATTATCATGCATCATGGCATTTTCATATTTTTTCAAAATCTATTTGTGTATTTATTATAAGTATTTCTATCAACAGCTGTGCCACAACTATGTAAAGTATAGAGTATCCAGAAGTTCTTCAACTAAAATGCCAGAGACTTTGTGTAAAAATAAAAAAATAAAAAACCTTTTACACACCGTTCTCTCTCGTGTGGGCTCTTGTGATGCAGAATGGGATATTCGAGGTTTGTATAGCATACTGGTTTTGTACTTGCATGGTTGTCACATAATGATTTAAATTTATGCTTCTTTAATGAGAGGCATATGAAGAAAATTAGTTGACGAGAAAAAACGGAGCAAATAAGAAGAGAGAGATCATAATATTAAAGAATGTAATGTGCCTCTGAAAATAGCTCATTTGAAAAGTAGAAAAGAAGTGCAGCAGGAGAAAGGTGGAAGGGGTATATGAGAGTGATAAAGATGAGCATGGGAGACCATTAAGCATTGAAGAGAAGATTAAAAGCAGATGTAGAGAGTACTTTGAATGACCCAATATGTTGAAATAATAGAGTAGCTAATATAAATGTGATCGTATTTTATAGTGGGAGATGAGTGCAAGATAGTACAGCAGTTGATATATCTGTGGAAGAGGTGAATACATCGGTGAGGAAGCTAAAATGTAGGAAACCTGCAGGCATTAATAAGATATCTGGTAAATTAGGTAATGTCTTAGAGAAAAGGAGAGGGAGTGAGAGTGGAAAATTGCCTTTCTGCCAGAAGACTCAGGATAGTGGTATTGTTGTATTGAATTAAAAAAATCAGTTACAATTGTGATTGTAACAATTTATAAAAGGAATGGGACTGTAGTGAGTATAAGAATCTCACCCGACTCAAGCTATCATGGTTCTACCCTGTGGGACCTTCATTAAACTTGGCTTAGGCAGCATATGAGTGAAATTGCTCTGAAAACATTTCACGAGATATGTCTGTTCTTTAGGTATAACTTATAAGAAAGTGGCAGCTAATGATACTGTGAGACTTGAAGATGTAACAAATAAAAATACTGAAAGCCCTTGGAGAGTAGAAAATATCTTGTGAGTTGGTGAATTAGTAGGTGTTGTATATAACATTCAGGTAACATAACAAATAAATAGTGTGGAGATTCTACAAAAGAGCTTAATGCGTGCAGATTTCTGCTAGTTAAACCAAAATGAAGCCAAGAAGACATCTTGGAAAATAATTGTTAATGAATAATATGCATGAAAGTGAAGGAAAGACCCCTTTTATGGGGTAAGTGTACAGTATTAAAAAATAATTTTCAGATGTAACCTATATCCTTTTTCAAGGTGCTGTATACAGAGAGGACATTGTATATACTGTATTACCTTGAGAAAGGATGTAAGTTACATCCAAAAATTTGTTTTTTAATACACTTACACATACATTGGGTCTTAAATTCACCTTCATTCAAGTACTACGGCATTGTAGTAAGTTTATCCAAAAATATGCACGTTATAGTGGATATATGTCAACCAAAGCCCACATGTGGTGCATGTGAAGGTTCAAATCCAATCAAATCACATCAAATGTTCATTCAGATAAAAGTACATACATGAAGATGAGTTAAACATATTGTTGGATTTATAGATAGAGCTAATACATACAATGCCTAAAGCCACTAATATGCACAGCATTTCGGGCAAAGATACAGGTACTTGAGTTACAAGGTTAGATACTATACAATTCTAATGTTTCCATGAGTGTGATAGTACAGTATTAGAATAGTTATTGATAATATTTTACTCCGCAGATGTGTCGTGGGCAAGTGAAACCAGTAGCTGGACCATGGCTGAAATATTAGAACTGCTCTTCACTGTCAGAGAACTATGGTCAGGAGGGACTAGTATAGATTGGAAACAGGTCTGAACTACATCCTTTATTCATTACAGTTGTTGTCATTTTAGTATTTTAGTAGAATGTGAAAATGAATTTCATAATTGTTCTACACTGTTACACGGTACAGTATACTGTACTGAATACAGAAATTCACGTTAAAATCTGTTCAGTTTTTCCATAAGTTTATTAGTTTATCATTGCAGTTGTAATTTAATTTAGATCAGCATGGTTAACACTCGAGACTGTACAACATAACATGCATGGCCACAACCCATGAAGTATAGTGTATACTGGTATCTGTTGAAATGATATATGTTCATATTTTAAGCCTTTACAGGTCTTATGCCAATGTGCTTCATGATAAATTTGGCTCAGTAGCACCTATACAATTGTTATCCTTTGAATGGATATTTCATGAAATACATTTTTGCTTTGGTAAAAATAAATCTTAGAATTTATAATGGGGGATAGCTAATGGTCTTATTTCATGAAGTATTGTGTCTAGTACTGTATAATTAAATACTCCTTTCTGAATTGTTCACTTAGTAGTTTCTTTAGACAATATCCGGTTTCCCCAGGGAGACGATGCACTCAAATCTAGGCTAATGCAACCTTCTCATTTCCTATACTGTGAGGATCATTTCATAATGCCTCTGCAAGGCACCAGTTGAAGGTAAAGATACACACATGAGAATTCTTAAGTCAGCCCTGAATGCTCATGAAAAGGTACTTTCTACTATATTGAAGAACTTCAAGCAATATTTAAGGGAAAAGATACTGCTGACTAATGCTTAGCTATGCCAAACTATCAATTAAGAATTTTCACCGTGGTCATCACCATCTTCCACCGGAGCCACTCTGGAAACATAACAGAAGTGAGCAAAAAAGCAGAAATTATAGAAGGAAAAGCAATAGGGGCAGACAGGCACTCGGGTTAAGTCTCAAATACTAGCACAGAAGCAGCCACTAACAAATACTATACACATGTGCAAAATGCCTGCAAATCTTGTGCTAAGGGAATATGCAGATATGGAAACCAAGATGCAGAGTGCAGATTTTGACATGCCAAAAATGTATGAAGGTGCTAAGAAAGGGCACATGCAAATTTGGAACAAGTTTGCAGGTACTGTATTTTCACTAAATTATTTAAGCTCCCAATTGATGATAGAAAATTTTTATATCCTCACTAGACCAAATGTCCATGTGAGAGGAACCGAATATTATTGACAGGACAATAACCATATGGAAAAATTCAGAATGTTTTTATGTGCAGACGGAAACAGTGGAGAACGAATGAGGGTTGAGAGCAGACAGGAACACTGCAAGAGTATAGGAGGGCATGGATAATTGCAGAGAACTGAATCTCAAATGGTTCATACATGGCATTAGAGACATACACTAAACCTCTATAGAACCACTGTGGAGAAGTAAACAGGTACAGTATTTTCATTTTATTTTGTCTTTACCAAAGATTTTGTTTCAGGTGAGTCTAATGATGAAAGCTGGCGGTCATCAAAGAGAGGCAAATTGTTGTTACTCTAAATTTCACCAACTATACAGTGGATACCAAGCCGCATATGCTTATAACCAAAAATATAGCATTCGGGAACGACGACGACCATCTTTTTATTTCAAGATTCATTCCTTGTTTGGCTACAGAGAGAGAATTCCAGGATGTGATTTTGGTAAGCTAACTACAGTAATAATCACACATTAATTGATTAATAGAAATTGGAACAAATGTCAGGAGTTGAACACTATAAAAAAAAAAAAAAGACAAGTGTTAAGGAGTGTTTCATGAGATAAGGATCTCTGTATTGAAAGACAGGAAACAATTATTGAAATTAAAAGGTATATTTGTATATGTATAATTTTACTTTACTGAAATAATAAAATCATTATTTTTTGTTATTGGCCGTTTCATATCCATAATGACACTTGCACAACTATTCTTTGACAGAGCCAGTGACTAGTGAAGATAAGGACTTGGATGTGGATGAACAAGAAGTGATTGAAGTATTGCTGGCCGAGATGAAGGACATGAAGGGCCTCACCTTGCACAGTGTTCCTCGCCTACCGCTTCTACTCTCTCTATCTCACTTCCTCGATGAGCATTACCAGCATCGGCCCAACACTTTCACACCATACCAGTAATTGCTAACTTGTTTGTTGTTTTAAAGACCAAACCGTATAAAACAAACTTCTATTCATATGTGTGCATGGTAGTCTGACAATAATTACCCTCTTCCCATTTTTAAACAGATTGACTCGTACATGGATTGCTCCTTTCCTTCATACCATGTTTGTTTAGAAAAAGTTGAGAGTAGGGCATGAAATGCAATAGGCCTAGTTGAGAGTAGGGCATGAAATGCAATAGGCCTAGTTTGCCTGCCATGCACTCTAGGCCCACTTGAGTACATCATGTGTAACTGACCTGCCTATATACATTAACCCCGGGTTTGTGTTTGTTTGCGGCATGGCACGCAAGCCATGGATTTATCACAGAAATTTCAATACAACCATATATGGATGGTTATGAATGGCTAGATGTATAATCTCTAAATGGGTCTTGCATATGCGGAATGGTGCCCATATCTCAAGAAGTATATCAGTAGACTGGAAACGTCGCAGACATGCAACGAAATGGCTTCCAGAAATAAAAACTAGCTTTGAGGAGAGACTAAAGGTGTTGCATAAACCAAAGGTAGAAGATAGAAGACAAAGATATATGATCACTATGTACAAAATGGTAACAAGAATCTATAAAATTGACAAAGACGAGTACTTGAAACCTGTATCTTCAAGAACAAAAGGTCGTAAGCTCAAAGTAAGAAAACAAAGCTACCAAAAATATATTAGAAAGTTCTCTTTTGCAAAAAGAGTGATAGACGGGTGGAAAAAATTAAATGAGAAGATGGTGGATGCTAAAACCATCAGTAGTTTCAAAGCAGCATAGGACAAAGAGTGCTGGGAAGATGGGACACTACGAGCATAGTTCTCATCTTGTAACTACGCTTATGTAATTACACAAAGGTAGAAGATAGAAGACAAAGATATATGATCACTATGTACAAAATGGTAACAAGAATCTATAAAATTGACAAAGACGAGTACTTGAAACCTGTATCTTCAAGAACAAAAGGTCGTAAGCTCAAAGTAAGAAAACAAAGCTACCAAAAATATATTAGAAAGTTCTCTTTTGCAAAAAGAGTGATAGACGGGTGGAAAAAATTAAATGAGAAGATGGTGGATGCTAAAACCATCAGTAGTTTCAAAGCATTAAATACACAAAGAGTGCTGGGAAGATGGGACACTACGAGCATAGTTCTCATCTTGTAACTACGCTTATGTAATTACACACAATACACACCACACACACACACACACACACACACACACACACACACACACACACACACACACACACACACACACACACACACACACCCAGCATGGAGTCCATATCTAGTCAAGGATAAGACTAAACTGGAAAAGGTTCAAAGGTTTGCCACCAGACTAGTACCCGAGCTGAGAGGTATGAGCTACGAGGAGAGACTACGGGAATTAAACCTCACTTCGCTGGAAGACAGAAGAGTTAGGGGGGACATGATCACCACATTCAAGATTCTGAAGGGGATTGATAGGGTAGATAAAGACAGTCTATTTAACACAAGGGGAACACGCACAAGGGGACACAGGTGGAAACTGAGTGCCCAAATGAGCCACAGAGATATTAGAAAGAACTTTTTTAGTGTCAGAGTGGTTGACAAATGGAATGCATTAGGGGGTGATGTGGTGGAGGCTGACTCCATACACAGTTTCAAGTGTAGATATGACAGAGCCCGATAGGCTCAGGAATCTGTACACCTGTTGATTGACGGTTGAGAGGCGGGACCAAAGAGCCAGAGCTCAACCCCCGCAAACACAACTAGGTGAGTACAACTAGGTGAGTACACACACACACACACACACACACACACACACACACACACACACACACACACACACACACACACACACACACACACACACACATACACATATACATACATACACATGAGCTAGTGAGACTCACAAACAGATATAACACAAAACAACACAAAGGCAGAATAATAGAAATTGACCGAGTGGTAAAGAATTTAAAAATATTTTATTGCATTGTTAATCATTTTGTTTGCATTAACCCTCAAACTGTACATCATTTTAGGTCCCTTTCTAGGTGTGCATACAAAAAATTCTAAATTCTGTCTCCATTTTTTATTGTAAAACATTTATTTCTGATGTTGGAAAAATTATAAAAAAAAATTCTAAGTATTTTAGTTTGGCAGTAGTGAGATGAAGAAATGTTGATGTCTATTTGGGAAATTAATTTTCAAGTAAACTGTTTCCAATAGATTTCTTCTTATCACAAATATCTTCCTGGCTCTTAAAAGTCCTTGAAATATGGCTTAACATTAATGTTTCCAAACATAAGTGTCAGTAAATTCACCTGAAATGGTGCCACTTTTTTTTTATTACTAATAAATACCCAGGAAGGTACTGGGCATTTATTAGGATCTTAAGGCTTTAAGGATTTTCCCAATATACAAACTATTGCCCAAGTTTAGAATGACAACCTTTCATTCTAAACATTCTAAGTGTAGAATGACAACCACATAAAATATATATGAATTTTGATTACTAAGATTTAAGAGGTACATTAAATCATTCACAAATGGCAGATGGATCAATCCTCTGAAAACAACAGGAGCTGTTTAAGGGTTGAATTTAGTGCTGTGCTATTTGTTTTTCAGGATTTGGCATCTGTTAGTACAACTTCACAATGCTCAGCTGGAAACTGTCCAGGAAGGTAGTGAGGGGCCATTTGGTGCAGACCTTGATGGCTTGTGGCAAGGACACTCGAGCCCTCTACAGGCTTACGGGCTTCATGCTGTACCTCTTCCAGGATGGCAGTTGGTATGCACTTTTTCTTCATTATTTTGGCCGTGCTATCCTCTGCAATTTGCCTCCAAAAGCCACTAGAATGGGCTCTTGTCATGAACATCTTAATCCAATGTTCCTGAAAAGATTTTATTATGTATATGTACTATAGTAGTTGGTAAGCTGGTACAGTTATACAGCTGGTAAATCAGATATAATGTTTATATATAAAAATGTAATGTTTTTTGTATCTTTAGCACAAAAAATTCTAGCTTTTCACCAACATTTATTGTTAATTGGAAAGAAATCGGTCAATTACATGTACAGTATTTAAATATATTCCACCTCTAGTGCTAAAACTATCATCAGTTAATGATTCTAGCACAAATCTTTATTTTTCTTATTTTTTCTTCACTTGAAAAGAAAACTACAAAGTTTATTTCACAGTTTTATTATGGCCTGATGCTAAGAGGTGTGTTTCTTTAATCCTTGTCAACATTATAATAGCCAGAGTGTTTATAATTGTAAAGCAGCCAAATATATGTATAACTGGGGGTGAGGTGAAGCACCTCACTTGGGACAATATGGTAAGCTGCAGGCCCACTGCAGCTTACCAATCAGTAAGCTGCATCACTATGAATAACTTTTAGGTGCAGGTCTGTACTGTTAGTTTCCAAGGTGCAATTACTGAAGAAACACAGTTTAATTATTGGGTGGGATGGTGGGCAGATTTGCCACTCTCGTGAGTGAGTTAGCTTGGTTGGGCAGGTGCACAGGCAGGTGGCTATTGAAACTTTGTTATACAAATGTAACTTGGTGACCATTCAAGCTTCCACATTGCTCACAGATTTTCTTTGCACTACCACCTTTGTTCGCCTTCATTCAAGCACTATGGCAGTGTAGTAAGTTTCTCCAGATATATTATTATTGTAGTAATTGTCATGGTAAGGAATTTAAATATGAATTTCTGTTATATCAGTCGTTCTTATCACTGTATTCATAACTTCCAGATCTGTGATTGGAGTGAGGCAGAATTGGATATTCTAACAAAGTCAGCCATGGAATGGAAGATGAACTCTTCACAAGACATATCTATGAGTGAGGTTTTCAGTGAGGCACTGAAAGCTGAAAATTATAATAAGACAGCTAAACAGTGTCGTAATCAGTGGCATTACATGATAAATGTTGTAAAACATGGTGGATACCAACGATATAAGAACCACATTGATCTTGTTTCTTTATTACAGACCTCTCTGCCTAAACAAACTAGTTCTTGTAAGAATAAAAGCAGCATCACAAAATTGTGTAAGGAAAGGAAAAACGTTAGTCATTCGTTTGTTTCGTATGGGGATAGAAATTCCTCACAAAATCTCGACCAAAACATGCCTAATGTATTCGTAACAAATCGGACCACTATTGTCGAGAGAGAAAATATCAATGTATTGCCTAAGGATTCTCAAGTGTCTGAACATTCTAATGCGGTAGATAATTTAATGAGCTTAAGTGAAATCTCAAATAATGTTACAGAAGGGAAATTAAAAAATACAGTTAAATCAAGTGATGAGAAGGTAATTAAGAAACGCATACTTCATCTATTGATGACAAACATTTCAAAGAAGGATAAAATTCTAGTGGAAGTTTTAAGCATTGCTGAAAAAGATAATTTCAATGTGATAGAATGTCAAGCAGAAGATGGGCACCAAAAAAGAATTCTAAAGCTTCATTATCCAGTCAAGCATACACTTCCTACTAATGTCAAATACATTACTATTCCCAAGATGCTTGTTTATCCAGCTTACATAGATCCTGCTGCTCAAGACTCCCCTATACTAAGTACCAAAAGAAATGGTAGAGAGTCATACTGTTATACTTCAGACTTCAAACTTACAAACCACCAGACAAAGATTTTAGAGTGTGCTACGAGTAACCTCCGACTTCAAATACGTGAAAAACAGAGATATTTATATCGAGGATCACACAAAGGAAGACTTCGGGAATCGTCAATTAAACAGGTGAAAATAAATGGGAGAGTATTGTCTGTGTGTCGCGTGGTGAGTAAAAACAACATTTCACGAATAATATTGAAAATGAAAAGAAGAGGGTCCCAATTGCAGATGATGAAGACAAGAAAGGTTTTAAAGCTAGCGTTAAAAAAACAATTTAGTGAATACTGATAGTTAACAAATATTTTGTCAGAATATTCCTAAATGCCTTTCAAAAAGTGATGGATAATCTTCAAGCACAGTATACCATTAAGGAAATAAAGGGAAACTAAGTAAAAACAAATGAAAAGGGTTAAAAAAATCTCAGTTGAGACTGCAGAGAAATAAAATGTATTTGCCGAAATTACAATCTAAGAGTAAACACAATGTTTTGTTGCAACTCTTGGGGCGAGAGAGACTAGAAAAATGTCTCGGCAACAAATAGAGAATCTCAAAAACGTAAACAAAATCCTAAAATCCTAAGGAAAGTACTAATAATAAATCAAAACTTCTTGACTCTGAAAGTAAGAATAAACATTTTACTGTCAGAAAAAGACTTCGAGAAATTTAAAAGAAAAGGATGTAGTATATGGAGTGAGAGAGTGAGTTTGAGATAGAAAAGAGAAAAACAAGTGATCATGAGAAGGTTGAAGAGCAAGGAAGAGCCAATTTAATATGCTTGATAAACCAGTACCATCTCCAACATGAAAAAGGAAGGCTCTTTAAAATACTGTTAAGAAAGGCACCAAGAAGAAACTTTAACCCTTGATTATATTATGCTACTCATTGATGAAATGAGTTTTTTTTTTTTTTATTAATCTTTACATGCTGTATGAAGAATGGACAGTAATAACATCACACACAACACATGGAAAACTTCTATTGTACTACAATACAAAATAATTCACTTTTCAAATGTTGTTTAACAGATGCTTTGAGCATGTGACCTAAGCCAGTTTGGAAAGGAGCATGAAATATTAGGAAAGTTGGAGAAAATGAGACCACAAAATAATGGAAGCAGATTTATTCTAATTACTATTTTTAGTAATTAGTAAAAAATTTTTTGTAATTATTCTAATTACATTTTTATTTAAAAAAATGATAATTTTCTAGTCAAGATGCCAGTTCTAAGTGATATCCGAATTGAAAAAATAAACACATCTGTTGCCTATTTGAATAAAGAATGTTTGTAATACTTGTAGCAAATTATATATTGCAAATATATTTTTGTATGCTTTATTTAACTGAGATGTGACACATGTAACACACATACACAGATTGCCTTGGTTACCCATGGAAACACTGTCATTAAGAAAGTAAAGTGGGTAACCTTTTTTCCCACTGATTTGTTTGATTGTGTCCTGAAAAGTGGTAATCGGATTTGGTACTCGGCTACATTTTCACTATCTGATGCCTCAATGATGATTTCTTCTGCCTTTTTTGATTTCTTCTTCTTTTCTTCTTGAAAATATATATATATATATATATATATATATATATATATATATATATATATATATATATATATATATATATATATATATATATATATATATATATATATAATATATATATATACAGTATATATAATTATAATGATTCTACCTGTTAGGCAAATCAAACCTTGCTTACTGGGCCAAGTAATGCAGTTCTAGCTATAAGGTATGACATATATATATACTGTGTTAGAGCCATGGAGTTAGACAAAAAGTGGTCCGGTCTGAATGACTGATCAGCAGGTTGATCTCGTTGGTATCCGCCGTTTGACTTGATATTATATTCACTTTAGATTTTATATACATTTCATTAATTTGCCAACTTTCCTGATTATTGTTTACAGTATTTTGCTATATATATATTTTCTATGAATTCTTCCTCCTTTTTTCACAGTTCTTATTACCTTCCTCCTCTTCTTTCCTCCTCTATCTCCACCCACCATTCTCCACTTTCCTGTCCCCCTATAACTCTTCCTCCTGTCCACTCTTCCTTTCGATTCCGTTCTCTTAATTCTTTCCTTTGTTCAAATGTTGTACTATTGTTATTGATACCAACAATCATGCAAATTCGATTTTATAAACATCACATTTGTCCTGCCTTGATGACCATATTGTGGGGTCCTCTCTATGTGCTTTGGCGTCACTGAAGTTATTAATACAAAAAAAAAAGTAAAGCTGGATGGATGTGTGTGCTGTCTGTCTGTGTCTGTGTTTGTCTGGGAGGAGCCGTTCCCGTGGTACGCACCCCTCTGGGAGGACCTCTACAGGAATTATCGCCGATTCATGCAAAAAAACGACAAACCTTTTTTGTTTTCTTTTACAAGGTGAGAGGAAAATCCGAAGGTGACTGAACGGGATAATTAGGGGCGAGACTTAAGGGAAGGGAAGGGGGGGTTTGGAGATGGAATAAGGTGAAAAGGTTGCTTGAAAGAGAGATGGGTTGATTAAAGAGGAAGCAATCAAGCGTGGAGAGACCCCAAGGAGGAGGATAATGGGGAGAGATTAAGGGGAAATATAGTGTGGGGGGGGAGGAACTAAGAGGGCCAAGAGAGAGAGTGGAGAGGACTGACTTGAGGAAAATGGCAGTGGTGGGGGAATGGAGTAAATATGTAGAAAGGAGTAGAGAGAAAATTAGTTAAGAGATAAGTGGGTGAATATAGGAAATAAAAAAAGGATGAGGGAAGAGATCAAGGCGCTGGAAAAGAGGAGGATATTAAAAGATTAATGGTAAGAAGAATAGGGAGGATGGATGAATCCAATGAATGGATGGAAGACATCGAAATAGGGAGTGAGCTAGGGAGCAGTGATCACAAAGAAATCAGATTTAGCATAGAATGGAATAGACCAGTAGGAGAAAATTCTGTTAAAGTGCCAGATTTTCGAAAAGCTGATTTTAATAGCCTAAGAATTTTTTTGGGTCAAATTGATTGGAAAGTCTTGGGTATGGGTGTGGGCCGGTCTTGGAGCGAGACATGAACCCAGCGATAGGTGACTTAAATGGGGATTTCGATGTGGATTCAATATATAACTTATTTAAGAATATTCTAAACAAAGCACAGGAACGTAGTATACCATACAAATTGAATAGATCGAATACTAATGACCCAAAGTGGATAACAAAGAATTTGAAGAACCTTATAGGTAAAAAGAGAGCTTGGTACAAAAGGATTAAAAATGGGGAGGTCACTTTAGAACAGGAATTCGTACAACTGGTTAGAAATGTTAAAAAAGAGATAAGGAAAGCAAAAAGAAACTATGTAGTTCGCATAGCAGGGCAAGCAAAGACAAATCCTAAAGGGTTTTTTCAGTTATATCGTACTAAGACTAGGGAAAGGATAGGTCCATTAAAAACTGAGACAGGTCAAATAACAGATAGTGATGAAGAGATGAGTAGTATTTTTAATAAATATTTTGTATCTGTATTTACTAAAGAGGAACTTAACAATATGCCTTCAGCCGAACAAGTCTATGTGGGTGGGGACGAGGACAGGTTGACGAGTTTAACAGTTACCAGGGAGGATGTTCTTAAACAAATAGTAAAACTCAAACCAAACAAATCCCCAGGGCCGGATGAAGTGTTTGCCAGGGTGCTTAAAGAATGCAAAGAGGAGCTTTGTGACCCACTGTCAACCATATTTAATAAATCAATAGAGTCAGGCAGAGTGCCGGAGTTTTGGAAAGTTGCTAATGTGATACCAGTTTTTAAGAAAGGAGATAGATCACTTGCGTCTAACTATCGACCAATTAGCCTAACGTCTATTGTGGGAAAGTTACTCGAATCTATAATAGCAAATAAAATTCGTCTTCATCTTGAAAAACATAAATTAATAATTGAGTCGCAACATGGTTTTATAAATGGCCGTTCATGTTTAACAAATTTGTTATCTTTTTATTCTAGCATTGTTGAGGCAGTTGATAGTGGTAAGGATTGCGATGTTGTATACCTTGACTTTAGCAAAGCTTTTGATACAGTGCCACATGAAAGACTGATTAAAAAGATAGAGTCTCATGGTATTGGGGGTGCTATATTAAGCTGGATTAGGGCATGGCTATACCAAAGGAAACAGAGAGTTAGTATAAATGGAATCAAGTCAGAGTGGGAAAATGTTGTAAGTGGAGTGCCTCAAGGCTCTGTCCTGGGACCTCTGTTGTTTATAATATATATAAATGATTTAGATTCAGGTTTGAGTAGCAACATTTGCAAATTTGCCGATGATACGAAAATCGGTAGGGAAATTAATTCGGAGGAGGACTCACTATCACTTCAAGTTGATCTAGATAGGGTTTTGAAATGGTCAAAGGATTGGCAGATGCAGTTTAATGCTGATAAATATGAATGGAAGCAGGAAAGGGTATGGAATAATGAAGAGACAAGAGGTGTGAAATATAAGTAAAATTGAGAGAGACGGAAGAATAGCATCCGTAGATAACAACTATATTGATGTTAAAATTATAAAATCGTTAGAAAAAAAAAGAGTGCAAATATGATACACAAGATACATAATAGAACGAACTCTTCATTGCCAACGGGGCACCAAGGACAAGTTTTTAGACACGCCCGACCTGACAACTGCCTGCCATGGCGAGGCGGGGGGGGGGGGGGGGGAAGGGATTGCGTTCATCGAGGATCCGCAAGGCGTATACAGTGGAAGTGTTTTGTGTCCTCTCGTGGTGAAGACTTGTTCTGTTGAGCTACAGGGCCCTCTACCCTCATACACTACTCTTCCTATTGGGAAGCTGAGCAGAGATTTGTGTATCCAACCCGAGGTTAATGTTGTGTTTATAGAGTCAACCTCGATCGTTATTATGGTGCTAGAGATGTTCTCAAACTATTACCGAGAAATTCAGTGAGCTGTAGCCATCCCTGGAGTCCACGAGGAAAGACAATGTGTCCTTGAGGTATTCCATGGCCTGGCCACACCAGCCGTCGCATGACTGACAGCGAGCTCGTCCACAGACCAAGTCCATTACCATGAGAAACCACACCCCGGTCAGACCACCTGGATAGTTCAACCTGTCCTACACCGTATTGACGTAACCAAACATAATGAAACCTCATCTAACCTAATCAAACCTAACCTAACCTAACCTAACCTAACAATGGATAAAGAGTAGATAAATGCACTAATTATGTAGTCGTTTTCAATCCATTCCCGTGAGCGTATTTCCTCCCTGAGGACAGGTTGTAGCCGTCTTACAACTAACAACACCCAAGTCAGCTGCTGTACGTCGGACAACACTCAACCAGCCGTCGCACGACTGACATCAGAGACCTATTGGACAAGCCTGAACTTACTACATAACCCGAGATGATGCAGTTTTTTTTAATGGATGCTGGTTTAGCAATTGTGGATTCATTAATATGGACTACGAGAGGTATTTCTGATTTGTACTTGCCTATAATTTTGCGTATATTTTCTTCCAGAGATAAAAATTGAAGCATTGAATTGAATAGCAGCAGCATTGCATATTGCTACTAAAATAAGTAAAAGGGATTTAATACCTGTATTTATGTTAGTTTTAAATGTATCGAAGATAATGTCTATATGTGTAGTTGAGTTGGTATATGAGGACCTATATGTGGGGACTGAATTTCGTAGTTACCAGGCTCAGAATTTAGTGTAGCTGGTCATCTTATTAAGTACATTTAAAATGTTCAACTTTGGCATTCAAGAAACTTAATGTTTGCTTTTAAACGTAAGTGGAACGAAATAAGCTTACCTTAATGGCAGTTTTTTTTGTCATACCAGTATGGGTATTGATCACTTACGCTAATTGAGACAACACAGTAAGTACATTTTCATGGTCATTTAGCAAAACATGCCAAAGTTTTGAAGATCAAAGAGTTTTAACTAGCTTCAAGTACAATGTCATCTGCCAATACAAAGAAAGAAATACCCAACAGTTGCAACTTTTTCTGTTCCAACTTGCAGTCTCAAAAATATTTATATAAAAAAAAATATAGAATTACATTTTTTCTCGCATAGTCTTCAAATTTATTTACATTGGTAGTTATATTTTTTATGAGACATGAAGAGCTGCAACAACCTTGCTTCAACAACGCCTGCGGGTCCTTTCACTGCTGTTTCGACATACGACCGAAGTGTACCAAAAATATATTGTCCACATTGCTAAGTTTTACTGGAATCAGTTTAGTGGTCAATAATGTAGAATTTTCACTGCAGGGAAGGGAGGGAACTATCAAGAGAAAGCGTAAAGTCATTACGACTATATATAGCACTTGGAAGGGGTCAGGATAAGGGTTTGTGATGGGACGGGGAAAAGGAATGGTGCCCAACCACTTGGACGATCAATTTTCACTGCAGGTCTCGGATGCGTATTTATTCAAGGCGCATATTTGGTCAATGGAGCCTATTTGGTCTTGGATGCGTGCTTCATTTGCAAATGAAAAGGAAATTAAAGCTCTACACATAAGAAGACTTCATCTGCCACACAAGCTATTTTTTATTTTTTTTGCACCTGTGAATGCAGCCTAGTCTGCGGTTCAAGTAGCAATAACTGCATTATTTTCTTCACTAAATAAAAAAAATAGTCGAAATTAAGGAGTTTTGCTTTTAGCATGTCTTTATACGTCTTAGGGGGACGTATTGATTTAGGAATCGTAGTTGTTTAAGGAGCGTATTTTGTCTAGGGAGCGTGTTTGTCCTTGGGTATTTGCAGGTGCATCTTTGTCTTACCTCAAGAATCAAATCCGAGAATTTTTGGTTGTGAACCGACTGCGCTGACTTGCGCTACAAGTTGCATATTTGGCCTAAGATGCATGTTAGTGCCAGTATGTGGCACTATGTGCCAGTATGCGGCACTATGTGCCAGTATGTGCCACAGGGCGTGGCCATAAACTAACGTACGATTACATGATCTTCTATAGAGTCTCCTGAGACTGATGGATGCCTATACTACCCTGTATGCTTAATGTCAAACTAAAAGAAGACAAAAGAAGAGTTAAGTCTGCAGACACAAACAACGCTCTCCGGGTAAATTAGGGGCTCTAATCATCCTATGGATTAGTCTTCTTAAATAATCTTTCCTGTTCTTCACAGCTTCGTTGAATAGGTTCTCATACACAATATGTGCAGTACTAACCTCAGTCTGGCTTTGTCGACTCTTGCCTTTCTCAGTACATAGATAAATGCTCTAACTTTAACAAACGTAATCTTTTGATAATTACTTAACACGCGTGATCTGAATTAGCTGTAACTCATATACAGGTTCTCTTTATTTTCTTTCTCTTCTGTTGCTTTCAGTTTTATCTTTATTTCTCCTCGTTCTCTTCGCTATCAAGCCTTCTGCAGTTGTCTATCTCTAGTTCCTATATGGTATACTTGTTAACTTCTCGCCTATCACCTCATATTCTTATATATTGACCTTCTCTTCTACTATTTCCCTGCACGACTTGATAACGGACCCGCCTATCAGCCATTAGTGCCAAACACTGCTGACTTTTAAAACCCAGCTTGAAAAAATAACCACGACAAATGAGGGGACTTATGACAAGCCGCCGGCTTCATGTCCTCGTCGAGGGCATTAGAAAAATAGTAGCCCTCAGGTAAATTCAAAACATTTATCACAGAAAACGGTGTTTTTTTTTTAGCAACAGTCCCGAAATTTGTAGCAGAGGTGAGCGGATGAACGATAAGGATATACATCATTAAGGTGTGGCTGGTGTTTTAAACACCATCTATCTTTACTCTGAATAATTAGTATAATATACATTATGGTGACAAAGAATTCCGTATTTTGAGACTTCAACCACCAAACGTGAGCAGTGACTTCATGGTCGCCAGACTCAGCACATCGACTACATTCTCATAACTTTGTTGATTATTGCTGAGGAGTATGAGCTTATATGCTGTGGGGTTTTTTCCGAGGCAAATTTTGTTTATGGCATGAGTGTGTATGGATTTTTTTTTATTTGGCATCAATTAAAGAAAATAATATATACAAAATGGTTTATTATACATGTCAGGGCATAATATACATATGTGAGGGCATAATATACATATGTCAGGGCATAAAATGGCAATGTAGTTTTGACAATCAGCAACTTTGCAAATGAAAAGGAAATTAAAGCTCTACACATAAGAAGACTTCATCTGCCACACAAGCTATTTTTTATTGTTTTGCACCTGTGAATGCAGCCTAGTCTGCGGTTCAAGTGGCAATAACTGTATTATTTTCTTCACTATATAAAAAAAATAGTCGAAATTAAGGAGTTTTGCTTTTAGCATGTCTTTTGAAGAGATGACTCTGGGTTGTCTGCTGTAGAGACGATTCCAGGATGTTCCCTTGAACCGGTGAAGAAGCGACGTAATCAACTCTCCCCAGATGTCATCGTCAGAGACTTGACAACTCCTCACCAGAAGAATCCTTGCAGTCATCGGGAGGAGAAGACCTTCACGCAAACTGCACGTACCATAAAGAAGAAGAATCCTTCAAGCAACTGCAGGTATCATGCACAATAGAGAGTACAGACGCGGTAAATACAAATATGTCTGTTGATTATACTGTAATCTTATTTTTATCATTCAGGTTGCCTTGTTTTCAGCCTTAATAACGCACTGGCTGTTTTCCTCATGTCATTTACTGTGTAGACGACATACGAAGAGTATGGGAATGCTTTTTTCACGGGAGTTCAAAGTTGTGCACAATCTTTTAAAAGATGCCCACGCTATGTGGCACATATATCTTTCTTGACTATACTAATCTCACGGACACTGCGTGTGTCAACAAATACTGAAACTTGAGCTTGTTCACACGGCTGAACACTGTCTCATTAAATGTTGCTTGCAATAAATTACTTAGAACATCACCAGGAACAGGATGGTTGCAGCCCACCATACAAATACTTTAAAAGTTCGCGAGAACGTAAATATTTTCTCTAATCATAATATCACTTCTTATTTATTTTCATATATATATATATATATATATATATATATATATATATATATATATATATATATATATATATATATATATATATATATATATATATATATATATATATATATATATATATATATATATATATATATATATATATATATATATATATATATATATATATATATATATATATATTCGTGTACATATTAATCACTGAGTTTCACTTCGGAAGCCATACAAATTTATACAGCATCCGAGCTACTGGAATTATCCATTAACTCTCGTGTTCTCTTAAGTCCACAAGAGACGAATTGCCCACAAATAATGGGTAAAGTCATAATTTACCCACTGGTAACGAGTAAATAAAAATAACACAAAATTGTTATTTGGACTTCGGGTAAACAAGAGAGCATCGGCGTGACTCCTTCATAAATATATAATTTAAGCCGGATTTTTCACACACGAACCCTCGAGGATTCACCACATATCTGTCGAATCGTCAGTCTGGATTTCTACGACTTCACCATTCAACCTGGAATGAGAATGAAAGTCAAATTAGTATCTGCTAAATTACCATCCGGAGGTTATAGCACTATACCAGAGTGTTTACGTTAACTGTGTACGGTGAATAAGGCGACACTGTTATCGCTGTATCGGTGAAAGTTTCCAGGTTGAATCCATAAGCTTATCACAAGTTTACCCTACATTATATCTTATTTTCTTTCCCATTTTCTTTTTTTTTTGGCTTTGGCCAAGTTAAGCCAACGCCAAAAGTTAACAATTATTTAAGTCAGGTAAGTAATTATTTAAAATGTAGCTATGTGACCGTATTGTTATGCAACAATTTAAAGGTTATCAAGTAATTTGGGGAAATTATATGATTTAAAGCAAACTTGTGTACAGTTTATAGTTTAGTCGTGAACTGTGAATATTATTATTATCCAACTGTAAGAAGGTTCTAGCCATTATTTTTTTTATTATTATTATTATTACAGAAATGCGTTTACTGTAACGGTTCGTCAGTGTCTGGCTGTATTCTGTACACACTGTTGCGTGAGAGTGAGTCGTACCTCTGTAACTGGCCGCGAGAGTCTGTGCGGTGGAACACAATTATATTGCCGGAGTTGTTTCTCGCCACTGGAGGGTGATTATTTTCCTCGTTGGAGATTCTACGGACACTTGGGTTCCGAGAAAGCATCCCTAAACCAAAGGAAGAGGAGGATGACGCTACTGATTGGCTGGAATCCTGCCGAAGTATGGTGACTTCAGGGACAGCCTCGGCTCCACCAGGATGGACGCTGGGTCCTGGCAGCGCCGGGTCCTCAAAGTTGACACTCTTGGGCGAGGACGCCACAGATATAGACGACATGCTGCTCTGTTTAGAGTCTGATCGCTGGAAGGGTTTGACTTTTTCTTCGTAGTCCGGCAGTTGCGGGATGTCCAGGAATTGTTGTGATCTTTGCGACGCCGACCGGAAGTTTACAGATTTTGTCGATTTTTTGGAATCTGTTCGCATCATGAAGTTAGGATATTTCCAAGGAGCCTTTGGAGGCTCCATCTCAAAAGCGTGGTTGTCGATGCCAGGGGTGATCTTGGGCTCATTCTCTTCGGTAGTCTCCTTCCCTCGCTTGGACAGTCGCCTGAGAAGTCTGGAACCGGCGTTGAGTCCAGCGTTGAGTGGCTCCTCCAAGCGGGGAATCTTGAATCGACGTTTCCTCGTGTCGTGGGAGTCTTCAATGATGATGTGACGGTCGTAGGGCGTGTCGAAGTCAACCTCCAGAATAGTGGAGAATTTGTGTGGATAGATGCAGTCCAACATTGATACGATTAGCCCTGATATGGTCACAAGACATCCTGTGGGAGGGAAACAAGTGGATGAGCAACATGCTTACAATCACTTTCGGAAATAAAAATAAAATGTTGAGTAGTTTTTCAGATTGACTTTAATGACCGGGAAAATGCTAGTGATAAGATTATAAGAGATTGTAAATATACAATAATAATTAATCTTTCATTCCTCAGGTGTCGCAGTTATAATTCTGATAGCAATGCGCACGAGGACGGGGACACACTCACCGACAACGAGTGAGAGCCAGAAGCACCAGCCCAGGCGGAAGGTGAGGGTGGTTTCTTCGAAGCGCATGTCGAGGGGCTTCGGGGGCATGAGGAGGTAGAAGACGAGGTTGGAGAGCCCCATCAGCAGCCCCGTCACCATCATGGTGTAGGCGCCGTAGCGGGGCACGTTCACCAGCAGCACGTTCATCAGCAGCCACGACGCGAAGGCCGACCTGCAGGTAACAAATGTTAGAGTGAGACGTAGCTTGAGCTACCTGTAGCCTCAGGGCGAGGACATGGAGTAAGGATATGTACATACATATACACATATATATATATATGGCAAAGGGGTTGTAGTATAGGAGCTCACCAGAGGAAGATGCTGGTGTAGTATCCTGCGATGCGGTAGTACCTCCCCCAGGCGAAGCCCTCGTTGTCGAGCGTGAGGTACTCTGCCACCGTGAGAATAGGGTAGGGCAGGCCCTTGACCAGCGCCTCGCGGTAGTGTTTACGCATGTCGGTGGGCTGGATCCAGTGGAAGCGCTCGTTGAAGTTGATATCGAGGCTGCGGTTGTGCTGGGGTATGACCCTCATGGTGACGTTGGCGTGGTCGAGGCCGATGGCGACGCCCAGAGTGGCGTCGATCTTCTCGCGGGAGAAGGCTCGGTACGACGACCTGATGACGCCGTGAGCAACATGCCACGACGAGCCCACGTTGCATACTGTGGAGAGACACGGAGCACGTTAGTGGGGTAGGAGACACGGGGCACGTTAGTGGGGCAGGAGACACGGGGCACGTTAGTGGGGCAGGAGACACGGGGCACGTTAGTGGGGTAGGAGACACGGGGCACGTTAGTGGGGTAGGAGACACGGGGCACGTTAGTGGGGCAGGAGACACGGGGCACGTTAGTGGGGCAGGAGGCACGGAGCACGTTAGTGGGGCAGGAGACAGGGTGCACGTTAGTGGGGCAAAACGCCAACGTGTGTGGTAAACAATGTCTAAAGCTCAGACAAAGATAGGAAAAGAGCTTTTCTATATCCTGTATTGCTTTCTCAAGTGTAAATACAAATTTTTAATGCTAATCCACCATAAAAAAATAGAATTTGCATGGAATAATTATAACAAAAAATGTTTCACAACATAAAAATCCATTATATTTAAAAATACAACATAAAGAATGGGAAGTCTATCGGTGTTGCTGTTATCTCTGAAGTTAACTCAGCGAGGCTTGTGGCCTCAGGCAGGGCTCAACCACCACAACAACAACCATATCACCACAACAACCACCACCATCACCACAACAACAGCCAACTTCCCCAAGACACAACTAGGAATTTAACAGAGAAAATCAGTACAAACCGTTTGGAGGATTTGAACCTATGCTGCGGGTACTGCCAACAAAGCTGTGGTAGGGAGCTATATACTGCCCCCCCCCCCCTTGACGTTCCAGACAAGGGAGGGGCGGCCTGGACGTCGCTCAACACAGGGCGTGAGCGCCTTAACTCAAGACTCACGTTCCACAGTATCAGACACTATATTATTACATCGTAAATCTCCTCTCCAGGCGCGTAATTCTCCCTTAAGGTCGCCTGCACACAGGAAGAGACCATTCACACCGTCCTGAAAATAACACACACACACACACACACACACACACACACACACACACACACACACACACACACACACACACACACACACACACACACACACACACACACCGCCGTGGAACCATTGTGGAGCCGGTGGCCGAGCGGACAGCCCGCTGGATACGTGATCCTGTGGTCCCGGGTTCAACCCCGGGCGTCGGCGAGAAACAATGGGCAGAGTTTCTTTTACCCTATGCCCCTGTTACCTAGCAGTAAAATAGGTACCTGGGAGTTAATCAGCTGTCACGGGCTGCTTCCTGGTGTGTGTGTGTGTGTGTGTGTGTGTGTGTGTGTGTGTGTGTGTGTGTGTGTGTGTGTGTGTGTGTGTGTGTGTGTGTGTGTGTGGTGTAGGAAAAAATAGTAGTAGTAGAAACAGTTGAGAGACAGGCCGAAAGAGCAGAGCTCAACCCCCGCAAGTACAACTAGGTGAATACAACTAGGTGAATACACACACACTCACACACACACACACACTCTAAAGGAAAAGTACTCCACTGGATAAGGGAATACCAAGCAACAGGACACTGTGAGCGGTGAGGTCTCGGAGTGGCGAGGAGTCACCAGTGGAGTCCCACATGGATCACTCCTTGAACCTATACTGTTTCTGATATACGTAAATGATCTCCCAGAAGGAATTGACTCGTTCCTCTCAATGTTTGCTGATGATGCAAAAATTATGAGGCGGATCAAGACAGGAAGATAGTAAGAGGCTACAAGATTACCCAGACAAACTGAAGGAATGGTCCAACAAATGGCTACTAAAGTTCAACCCAAGTAAATGTAAGGTAATGAAACTAGGAGGAGGAAATAGGAGGCCAGACATTGGATACCGAATGGGAGATGAAGTCCTTCACGAAACGGACAGAGATCTAGTTGATATTACGCCAAACCTATTATCAAATATAGATATGATAAAGCCCAGTAGGCTCAGGAATCTGTACATCAGTTGATTGACAGTTGAGAGGCGGGGCCAAAGCTCAACCCCCACAAGCACAACTAGGTGAGTATACACACACACACATGAATCAGTAGTGTGCTACAAGTCGCGCACGCGCACACACAGATGACTGTGGTCACACTCAGATGCAGAAACTCTCACTGTTCATATATATTCACTGTACATATATTTATATGTAATATATATATATATATATATATATATATATATATATATATATATATATATATATATATATATATATATATATATATATATATATATATATATATATATATATATATATATATATATATATATATATATATATATATATATATATATATATATATATATATATATATATATATATATATATGTCGTACCTAGTAGCCAGAACGCACTTCTCAGCCTACTATGCAAGGCCCGATTTGCCTAATAAGCCAAGTTTTCATGAATTAATGTTTTTTTCGACTACCTAACCTACCTAACCTAACCTAACCTATAAAGATAGGTTAGGTTAGGTTAGGTAGGGTTGGTTAGGTTTGGTCATATATCTACGTTAATTTTAACTTCAATTAAAAAAGAATGACCTCATACATAACGAAATGGGTAGCTTTATCATTTCATTAGAAACAAATTTGAGAAAATATATTAATTCAGGAAAACTTGGCTTATTAGGCAAATCGGGCCTTGCATAGGCATAGTAGGCTGAGAAGTGCGTTCTGGCTACTAGGTACGACATATATATATATATATATATATATATATATATATATATATATATATATATATATATATATATATATATATATATATATATATATATATATATATATATATATATATATATATATATATATATATATAATATATATATATACTAACACGGCGAAACGGACATGTGCATGCACGCCAGAAAACACACACATGGCCGCCGATTGGCTTATAGAAAACTCAAGTGCTTGCTACCTGAACACCTGCAAAATATTATGTGTGAATTCCTTTAATTGTGATTAGATTCCGCGTTGACCCCAATCCAAAGCATTAACTTGCATCAGTGCTAAATTTCTCTCTTAGGCTTTTTTTTTTTTGTTCGGAAAGCAATTCTGTCCTATCCATCAAGGACAACACGCTTCGTTGCCCGCTCATTCTCACGCTCCCAAATACTCGAGAAACTCACGGCCAAACGTGTCCTTTATTCAGCGAGCTGAGCATGACTACACACAGTTAAAAATAGCCAAGTTGGCCCCTCGGACACCCTCTTTCTCTCTCTCTTATCTCCCGCCAACCACACCCTAAAAAAATATGTCGCCGACAGGCTAATATTCTGAAGTATCCCCTCCTCCATTTTCCTTCTGAGTGTATTTATATTCTCTGTGGGTTAAAAACAAAAGGAGATACTGCAGGCTCACTGTGGCTGTCTCGCAGCGTGTGTTGAGCGCCCGCGAGGTAGGTAGCCTGAGTGACGGGGTTGTTGTGTTAAGGAGAAGGAGGGGAACTTCCCGCAAGGTGAACGCGTTTGGTGTTGGACTTAAGGCCTAGCACCCGCAGCGGAGGTTATTAAGGCCAATACAGTAGGTTACTGACCAACCAGTAAGTAAAAACTCTGCTCTCGGAGTATAGACACCCAGTATATATATTACCGAGTATATACCTCTCAATGTATATACACCGAGAAGTGCGGTATACATCTCAGTGTATATAACCTTGTGAACTGGTCTATACCATCTTGTCTGATGGCTTTATATACGCAATAATCTAGAAGAAAGAAAAAAAAAGCTAATAGTAAAGCACTTATGAATAAACAAAATCCCAGAGCACACGAGCGGAATAATAGCAGCGCTCTATAAAAACACTCCCGTAGTGGTTGCCACCAACCAGGAAGTCAATTAAACAATGCCTTCAAGGACATGCTCTTTTGTTTTTTGTCGCACCACGAGTCCCTATACGCTAGACGCAATAAATAGCATCGAACCCCCCTCCCCTCTTTCTTAATGCGTATACAGTGCCGGAACACCGGTGATAATAACCATCAACAAACACCGAGTCACGACTCGGCGTATTCATTAACCTCAACTCAACTCTTACGCCAGAACTTTCCCACAAAATGCTCTGATGTTTCTTAGCTCGATTTATTTTTCCCGCGCGCGCCAAAAGGACGATCAGCGGTGACAAATGAACACAAAGGAAAGAGGTAAAGTTTAGGGGGGGTTATCTTTTTTTTTGTGGGGGTTGGTACTAGTCTAGATGTGGCTTTTTTGTTGGGGGGGGGGGGGTCTAGCGTTAGCTGTTCAGCCCCGCCTGTTGATTATAAGTATTTTTCAATGCAGCGACTCTTATTTTTTTGTCTTTCTCGTTTTTCTTTTGTTATTTATATTTATAATTATGTATCGAATTGAGCTCGACAATTTCTTCATGTAGTCATTAAGTTGTCTTTTATTTACTGCTCTTAATTTGAAAAATGTGTGTATGTGTGTGTGTGTGTGTACGCACCTAATTGTACTCACCTAATTGTGCTTGCGGGGGTTGAGCTCGGGCTCTTTGGTCCCGCCTCTCAACTGTCAATCAGCAGGGTGTGTGTGTGTGTGTGTGTGTGTGTAACATCACAACATCACCAGTGTGCACCAACTTCACGATTCGGTTATAACAACTTATATTCTCTCCGCGGTATTGACACAAATTCCTGAGACAGAAAGGATCGACTCGTCATGCCACGAATTCGTTTTCCATCTGAAACTTGAACCCGAATTATACTGCAGAATTCCTTCAGAATAACCGGTAAATGGATATTAGAAGTTCACACACACACACACAACTAAAGCACTCCAATCCTACTCAAGAAGCATATGAGGAAACCAAAGTGTGTTTACACCTCTCCCCCTCCTCTAGTATTTAGGATGGAGTGGCTCTGAAACCTTCACTTGCTTTTTCACCTGTCAAGTAGGCCAACTGTGAACGAGCAACGGTGTATGATTGACGGTGAGGGAGTCCTCATCTCCCAATGGTACTGTTTCTAAGCAGTGGTGGTGGGGGATGCTGGTGGTGATCGTAATGATGGTTAGTGGTGGTTGTGGTAGGGATGATGGTTGGTGGTTGGTAGGTAGGGGGGGGGAGGAAGGTGGTAGTAATATT